CAAGGTGGGAGGACTGCTTGAAGCCAGGAGTTCAAGACCAGCCTGAGCAACATAGCGAGACCCTGTCTCTATAAAAAAATAGAAAAATTAGATGGCTGTGGTGGTGTGCACCTGTAGTCCCGACTACTCAGGAGGCTGAGGCAGGAGTATCTCTCAAGCCCAGGAGTTTGAGGTTGCAGTGAGCTATGATTATACCACTGTACTCTAGCCCGAGAAACGGAGCAAGATCTCATTTCGAAGCAAAGACAAAAACAAAAACAAAACAAAACATAAACAAAATCAGCAATAGGATATGGCTAGCCATCATGGCCCCTCTATGCAAAAGCACCCAATAGCACTCCCTTTTCTCAAGTGCCAACTTCTCTTAGTGCCAACTGCAGAAATTTACATTTAGGGCATAAATGGTGCATGTGTGCAGTGTACAAGCTGCACTGGCTGAAGACAGCAGAGACCTATATTATGAGCCTTACACTGCTCTGATTTTAATTTAAAAGCTGGAAAGGTAATATGCGTGGGCATCTGATGAAAGTTATAAGTAAGGATGGAGATTCCCTGGCCTTTCTGCTTAGTACAAGAGGAACAACCTCTCTGGGTGCTCCCAGCTATTCATCCCTTTCACTCCTTAAGTGGAGCTGAATAACTACAGGGCTGCATTTAAGAGCTAAAAATGTAGGGACCTCGGTGCCTCCTGCCACCACCCATCCTTATGCTCCCCTTGCGACAGCAGACGGCAGAGGCTAGAGTGAGACATTTGCACTCCGCACCTGCTTGTTCCTTGGCTCCACATCTAAGGCATGCCTACCACAAAGGGTCCCCCCCCAGCCAAGTGGCATTCTGGGTCAGTGGGAGTTTTGGCTCTCGTCTGGTGCCTTTTTGTCTCCCTGTTTACCAAACCAAATTGTGTGTGGCTCAGAACACACTGAAGAGGGACATTCTGTTCCAGACTTGCAGTCTCTGCTTCTCTCTTTATTGGGGTAGGGGGTAGAGAAGCATGAGAATGTTTTTTCCTCCAGCGTACTCTCTTGCATTTAGAAAAGCCCTGCTCAGGATGCAGAAGAGCCCTCTGTGCCATTCTTGTCTTCCAGAATTCCTAAATGTGGGCACTGCCCAAGTACACACACTGAGGTGCAAATTATGCACATTAAACTGATAGGTCAATATCAAATAGCAATTGAAATGAAATAGTGTTGTGACAATTTCTGAGTCAAACAATGCATATTTAGAAAGACCTACAAATGCAAGACATCATAAAAAAGTATTAAAATTGTGTCATTATCCGTAGTTTTGTTCTCCCTTCTCCTTCACTTTGTCACCTAGCTTATCTCTGCTAACATATACTGCCTCAAAATCTTTCTGGAAAGAAAGAGGTCCACTGTATATAAAGAGAACTCTTGGCTCCCAACCTTATCACCCAGTCCCTTCCAGCCCAGGTGGGACTGTGCAACATGAATTTTTTTTTTAAAAGGCAACACCACAGTGGTTGCAGGGCTAGGGGCATGACTTCATGCCCAGCAAGGAATAGAGACATAAATTGCTCTAAGTTCACAGGCGTTCAGCAGGAAATCCAAATCAATTTGGGTCAAACGTGGGGAGGGGAGAGGAGAGGAAACTTCCTAGGGCAGAAACTCCATGGAGCAAGTTGAAGAGGAGAGAAGCTCTATGTCTGTTCATTTGCGATTATACCAGACAGGGAAATGGAAGGTGCATTCACTGAGAACAGGGACAGAGGGGCATCCACCAAGGGGACGTGGTGGAAAAGTCGTGGCAAGGAAAAAATTTTCATAAACACCCAGCAAATGATTCTCTGGAAATGATACCAGAAGCTCCTGTAGAAAGAACTGAGGAAACATCATTGAATTGTGCAATCTGAGCTGCTTAAAAACACCACGAACATACGTCTGCACTCAACACTGGGTACCTGATGGTGTCTCTCATCTCCGGCCCCGAGGGTGTCTCCAAAGCCACAGCAACCTGGTGGCAGCAAACCCTGGCATCTTGCGCCCCTGCAGTAGGAGAACGTGGCAAGCCCTGCGTCAGATACCTACCTGGTTCAGGATTGTTGAATGAACCGAATGGTTTCCTCCCTGCTTATAACTGCTCTCCTTTTAAGGTCAAAGCCAGGAAGAAGATTTCCTTTGGTCCAAGCTGGGCAGAAGGTCCCACCTGGGAGTCTTCCAGGGCAAACCAATGCTGACCAAGAGGAGCAGACATCAGGACGGTGGCACCCCCGTGTGTCAGGCACGGTGCTTTACACATGTCATCCCTTATCACAGCCTTATAAAAGAAATAAACTCACCCCACTGTACCATAAGGAATCTGCAGTTCTTTGGAATCCCACATGCTTTGTGCATACCATGTGGCAAGGCTGCATTTTGTGACCTGCACTTAAGGTGTGGCTCTGCAGGGACTGGGGGGAAAGCCAGGCAGGGAGGGTGGCTAGAGGAGGAGGTGCTTCTGCCAAGAAGGCCTGAGACAGGATGCACAGCCTCAGCCTCGGCCAGTGCCACCAATACAAAAGGCTGCACGGGTGTCGCATCAAGGTGGCTTTAGGATGAGGTCCATAAATACGAGTTACGGCTGAGCTAATTGAGTGAATGAGTCAATTAATGAAAAGCAAACATAAAGGCAAAAGTTGGAAATATTGGACAGCTCTAGAGTGGTTAAAAGCACAAATTTTGATGTTAGACCTTGGGCAAGTTATTTAAACTCTTCAAGCCTCAGTTTGCTCATCTACAAAATGGGGATAATGCTACAGTATTTATCTCGCAGGATTTCCTGATGGTTAAGTGATGGATATATGGAAGGTGCTTAGCACAGTGCCCCCAGATAGGGAGAATGCCCGACCATTTGTGGCATCTCTTATCTTCCCGTTGTCACCATTATCATGATGAGCACCAGGAGGGACTGTGGCAAATTTGCATGGGAAACGTGGAAACACCAGTGTGATTTCTTTTATTCCTAAAGCAGGCCCCTCAACTGCTAACCCAAACCCTAACCCTAACCCTAACCCTAACCCTAACCCTAACCCTAACCCTAACCCGACTCATTCTCTCTTTCAGGGTAACGCAAGGAGCTTATTTTCTCCTTATTTTACCAGGAAAATGTGTTAGAGCGAGATTTGCCTAAACCTCAAAACTCTTATCATGACCTTGGACCTATGGGCTCCAAAGGCGCAGACACATGGCCCGGGAGGCGCCCCAGGGGGAGGCCGTCCACGGAGACAAGGAGCGCTGCAGTCTGGCGAGTGTCCAGCGGGTGGAGCCAGAGAGCCCCGGCGGCTGCCCAGCGATGAGGACCCGCCGCACCTGCAAGCAGTCAGAGCCCAGATGGAAGACCCGTGACGTCCGCACGGCTACCTGGGAGAGTTTTCTTTTCCATCCTGTGCTCATAGACGTGCACCTGAGTTCGTTAGATTTATGCCACAACAGAACAAGCCACAAAATTGAAATTCAAGAAGAAAGGGAAAGGAAGAGATTTTTTTAAATTCAATTTTAGATTCTCCTGCTGTGCAATGTTTGCCTCCTGACTTTTAAAAGGACAGCAGAGTTTGTGCTGGGAGTCTCACCTGGAACGAGGGACATTCCAGGGAAACGCTGGTATTTTTGTTCTCTCCTCACTGGGAAAAAGGGCGGCTGGTTTACAGAAAACAAGTTGCACATATCTTGTCTTCCCCGCCCGCCCGCCTGCCAGCCACACCCCTCAGGCCCTCGCTTGGGCTCTCACACTTTTGCAGAAGTTGTCACGTCTAAGAGAAAATTCTACCCCAGGAGCAGTCACTCAGCTCCTGAATCCACACTCCAGCAACGGGTCCCATGGTTTTTTGATTTAAGTGACACTATGTTGATCCCTTTCAGTTATAAATCTTTCCAAAAATACCTCAGGGTCAGGGTAGGGGCTAGAGGAAACAGCATGGACAAGAAAGAGAAGAACTGGGGTAGGATGAGTGGTGGGCAAAGAACTTGGAACATCGTGGAAGCGATGGCAAAAGTAGTTGGCACCGTATCAAGAAGAGAGAAAGAAAGAGAGACGTCAGGTATGGAAGCAGGGGACCAGTTCCTCGGCACTGCTTTGGCACTGGTGCCCGGAGTGGGAGGAGAAAGCAGGGCCCAGACTATGCAGAGCCAGCCTCGGAGTATAAAACTGTTTGGTGCCTCCCTGCCAGCCCTATCTCCTGCGAAGCACTCTCCCTTCCCCTAGAGCCCCGAGAGCCTTATCAGCCACTGCCTTCTGCCACCAGGAGCCCAGGCGTGTAAGTACCCTCCTCGTTTCTATTAATTTCCAACTGTCCATTGTTCGGGGCTTGGCTTCTTAGTCCTCTGTCATTTTCGCTCTTTTTCTCTTTCCTGTTTTTGAATGGAGAAAATGTTTCAGATCGCCGGGACTGATTAGAAGCAGCGAAGTCAGAGTTCCGGTAGACTAGAAAGCAATTTACCAAAGCCACAGGTTTCTTCCTGGAAACTTAAAAGCGATGTCTTTCTTTGTTCATGATTTCAGAAGCAAGGTGGAAGCAGCACCTGAGCAGATGGGGAAGAGGGTTGGCAGCGAGGTGTCCACCCAGCGTCCTAAATGACTCGGGGTTCACGCAGTTAGGAGTTTGGGGCTGTGTTCCTGGAATAAGTGAAGTTGGAGACAAGTGTCTACGTGACCCAAAAGAAAAAAAGTGGGGCACTGGGAATGGCCCTCTGCAATTATGGATTTATAGATTCTTCTGCTTGTGCTGTCACGCTGCAGGGAGTGTGCTTGTGTACCCGTCCGGAGATCTAGTCAGTCACAACTGAAGCCACGAGTCTGGCAGCTTCTTTGAAGCTGCACTTTGTGGCGTGTGGGATCCAGGCTCCTGGGGGTAGCGTCTTCTGAGCAGGGAAGCATTTTAATCAGGAGACAAGAATACCTGACTGTGTTTTCTTTCTTTCTGATTACAGCTTTAAAGAAAACTGAGCACCTCCTGCCACTTAAAATCAAAAACTACCTAAAATAAAGATTATAGTAAGTACCAAATAAACGTCAATGTGGAAAGCCTCTTTATTATGAAAGAGCATGAATGTTTCAGTGATTTCTTCTATACCCATATCCAAAACTTTGTACTATTTTTAAAAGTGATACTTGAGGCATGAAAAATTGAAGAATTTTAGGTCTCTCCAATTGCACAAGTTTCTAATATATGCTGACAGCAGAATGTATTTCATTTTGTGTAATGAAATAGAGAATATTAGTTGAATTGTAATATTGATATTGCCTCCTAGTACTGCCTTGTTTCACTAGTGATCTGGGCTATGAAAAGTGATCTTTTTTTTTTTTTACTGCTATTGGGAAGCTCATCAGTTACAGGTTCCAGAATATTCTTGGGATATTAACTTCAGCACACACATGCCTCATTGTGGACTCGTCAGCAATATAGGAGAGTGTGGCTCACTTTGAGGCCCAGGGAGACATTTGTTTGTCAGGGTAACTGCTTCTGGCAAGGAAACAGGGTGACAGTGGGGATGGCAGAGCCCTTCCTTTCTTGTTGTTCAACCCCCATGCCAGGGTTACTTCAAGGCGACTGTGAAGATAGGCTGTGCCCACCACACCACTGAGTTCTAGCACCCACTGCAGACTCCAGCATTCAGAAGTTGCTCTTTTACTATTTGTTGACTTGAACAGAGTCTCAGGTGGCATTAATGTGGCTGACCCCAGACTAGAAGACAAGGAACCACCAGGGCCAAGCTATTCCATAATACCTGCTGCTTGCTGAGCAAACTTACATAGTTTCCACTCTGAACCTCAGTTTTCTCTTCTATAAAATGAAGGCTTGAACTATGGGGTCTCTAAAATCCTTTCTAGCTCTCAAAATTTTCTGACTCTTGGCTCTAAGAAAATATTGATGTTGAGCTCGAGGATGTAGTTCTCCTCCAAGCGCATGATTTTGGTGGTAGGAGAAAGGCAGCACCTAGCAGGGGTGCAAGGGGTGGGCACCTACTCTGAGAGAATGTGACAGCCCGGCTTGTCTTTTTCTTTCACTTTTCTTTCGTTGTTTTTAAGCTTGTACAAGATGAGAGCCCTACCACTGGGTTTCTTAATGTTGTTATTTGTTAAACAAAAGTATTCATAATGCAACCCTGAAATACATCAGTCTGGTACACAACTAGCCAGATAGTTTACCATGAATAAATACTCACACATATAATTTTCCCCTATGACATGTCAGAAATATTTTCCAAAATCATGGATTTCTCTGAGTCACTCTGGCAGAGGGTAAGTTTTCAGGTTTCAGGCCAAGTCAGGAGAAGAAAGTAAAAGTAAAATAAATAAAAGGAGGTGGAAAAAAGAGAAATACCACACACACCAACTTTTTTGGAACTTCTGAAGGAAGAATGATATTTTTGGATGCAGTGGAATTAAAAAAAAAAAAAAAAAGAAAAGAAAATGTATGAAAAGCTGCCACGCCTGTTGAATTCAACTAAGAATTGTTTATTATTAACAAAATGATATTCGATATTTAAGAATTCTTATTCAGATACAAGGAAGAAGTGCCATTTAGAAGACTCTTAAGCTGGGCTTTTGCTGTGCATACAAAACACAGCTAGTATCTTACTGCAAAAAATAGAGCCCACACCACGCCTCATTCTTGTCACACTTGATAAAGAACCACACAGCCCGGGGCAACTTGTTGCCCGTTTGGTCCCAAGATGGAGTCTAACAATGTCCCCCGAGCATTTCAGAGCCCAAAGCCTATCTGGAATCTCTGGAACAGGCTTCAGCTCCGCCAACCTCTTAGCCTCAGGGACACACAGTGGAGCAAATTCCATGCGTTGGTCTCTGTGCAGGACGGTTTGGCATTATTATCATTATTATTTGTTTTAAGCAAAGTAAATGAACGTCTGCTTTCTGTGGTCAGCTCATTGGCTCTTGGCCCCCTGCGTGCTCTTTGCTGATGGAGAAGTCATCTTCTGCAGCATTAGAGGTCTCCGTGGAGCCACGTGGTCCCTCCCCAGGAACCCCCCAGGCCACTGCCACCTTTCAGGTGCTGGGCAGAGCCAGGGCATGCATCCCCCTGATTCACATAATTTTGCCCTTTGTCATGTGTTGAGGAAAAGGAAGGATGATTGGTGCCATTGGTGATACCCAACATAGTCCTCTTTGGACGTTCCCTTTTGAAAATAAAGCTGGTGAGGAAGCTCGCGGAGGCTTGGCCCTGGCCAACAGGTCGCAGGAACAGGTATGCTTTCTTCTGCATCCTCTGTCTTGGGGACCCTGGGCACCTGCTCCAAGTCCCAGTGTGTCTTCTCTGGGCAGAGCCTGGGAAGTAGGGGTCAGCAACTCTGCTGAGCTGGGGGCTGTGGGCTGAGCCGGAGGCACAGGGGTCTTGATCCAGAAGACCCCTTGATCCAGAAGGTCACATGGCACCCACCTTGGTTTGGAGGCTGGACCGTTGAGCTGGGTTGTTTTGACAGTCTTAGAAAAGCCAGAAGTAAGTAGTCTGGGATTTTACATTTATCCTGCTTCTCTTTTATTGGAGTTCCCTTTATTTTATTGTCCTCTCTTCTCAGTTGAAACATAATGGCCTACTTTACAGGAGTTGAGGTGTTCGAGCATCAGTAGAAGGTCCTTGGTCCATAGCCTTGTGTTGCCTTCCCAGTTACCATGCATGGATTCTTAAAGTTCCCCAAAGAAATGCAAGTATTCCAGCATGATAAAATGTAGGGGGAACTGCAACTTTAAGTTATTGATTGCTCATCTGCACTTCTCACGTCTGAGTTCTGGAGCCAGTAGTCAGGGCTCTCAGGGACTCCAGACAGTTCAACAGTTCAGAAGAAATGGTTCCTGGGGGACTCTGAAACAGCAGCCACTGTCTGCTGAAGTCCTGGGAAGACCCCTCTCTTTAGGACATTATTGCCCTACAACCCATCCCAGTGTGCAGATATTGGAGACACAAATCACAATAAATCTTCTGTATGTTGAGCTGTGGATTTGGACAAAGCTAGTTTAATCTTTACTTAACTTTAGGTGGCTCAACAGGGGACTCAGGCCATTCAGGTTCTCAATCACGTCTGGCCAGTTATATTATCGGGTTTCGAATCTGTATCTCCAAAATCTCTGAGGTGAAGGGATATTTAAAACCCTCTAAGATAAATATATGCTGGAAATTTTGAGAATATGAATTTGTTTATTTTGAAATAGCCCAGGTACCTGATTTTGTAGTTGATGGAAAATGCCACTTCAATAGTTTTCCTTTGATGCTTCCACTTTAGGGCTTGATACATTCAGTTATAGAAACTCAAGGCAGTTGTGTCTTTGAGCTTCTTTGCATTGCCTGGGCTGAAGCCTGATGCCTCTTGCAAGTTGGTGTGGCTTTGAGAATGGATTGCTGTAGCTGAGGCAGAGCCTTACCAAACAATATTTTCAGTTATGAGATTTGAAGAGGGATGTATCTGCAAATAAATGATAGCCAGCACTTATTCAGATTATAAAATAAAAGATTATTTTTTTTCATAAATGCATAATTATTCAAACAGTTGTACATCTTTAACTATGGAGCCAGCAGAGCTCCATATGGACTTAGTTTTGGCTTCCAATCTCTAGGATTCATTGGAAATCTCACAGATGTTGGTGTCTGACATTGTTTTGCCAAGACAAAATGACCTTGGTCTGGCATGCACTGTATGAATAGCTGCTGCTCTGTGCAACAATTAATGGTTTGCCATTGTTTAAAAGCAGAATGGTTAGTTGGGCAGTGAAGTAATATAATGGAAGTGTAATTGTTAGCAATAAATCAGTTACCCACATTGATTTCCATATTGAGATTAATAGAAGCCAAAACTAGAGTCAGGATTTTTTTAAAATAGAACTTTATTATCTGTTAATCACTATTTGTTGGATATGGCATGTGGAACAATCATGGGCCAGGAATAGCCATGGGGATGGTTTGATCACAGCCTGGTGGCAGGAAAAGACAAGCTGGTTTCTCTGCTTGGGCTTTGGGTATTTCTCTGGCCATGTCCTATGTGGTTGCAGCTTTAACGTTCCATAATTGTGTCTTCAGGGGGGTCTGATGGTTTGGGCATTTGCCCACTTTGCATGGACCTTGGCTTTTCTTACAACTCAAGGTGGTTTTACCATTGTCTTCCTCCCTCTGCCTACCTCTGGGATTATGTCATTAGTATTCTTTTGCATCTACCATCAGCACCAGGAAACCTCCATTTTCGTCTCCAGGGTACCATATTCCGGTGATGTTGGTGCTTTCCTTTTACATACTTATCATGAGACACAAATAGGCCCACAGTGAACACAAGTCATGATTATATTGTTTGTATTTTCCCAAGGCATGTTTGCTATTAGTATAATCATGCCGTGTACATTCTTCTGTTATATAATCCTTTGATTACAACTCTTTGGTTTTCAACAGCTTTGTCCAATTCTATCTTTCCTAGTTTCTATACCTCTGTGGAATGTCATTCCTGCTTGTTTTTACACATTTAAATAAAAAAGTAAAGAATTTCTGAGGGAAAAATTCAGGCTATCTTTAACTTGGAGAGTGTGGGGAGGCTGTGTCAACACACTCAAACTGTTGTAAAAATGTATTGCCTTTCAAAATTTTAATTATAAAACTTCTATTTGTAAAATAAAACTTTAATTTAAAAAGACTGCTTATCTTGGACCAGTCTGCACTGGCTTAGTGAGCAGGCCATTTTGTAACCCGATTTCTTGCTCTGTGACTGGCAACATGAAGCTTAAGCACTTGATTTGAGCTCTTTCTATATTATTTGACCCGTTATGTTGACATGAACTGTGTTTCAGTCTTCTGAAGTAGACTGAACTCCTTGAGTGCAGGAAGTGGGAGATCAATCAATGTTTGTTGAACTAGCAACTGAACTCTGAAATTAAAGACCAGAACCTTCTCACAATAGCATGAGAGACATTGATCACAAAGGTAGTGTGGGATTTGGGTTTGGGTAATCATCTCTGTGATGGTATTTCAGATAGAAAATGGCGCTTTCTTAGTCCTATGGGACATCATGGTCCAAATCTTCTGTGGCTACTCTAGAAGCCACAGAATTACCCCCAAACTGGCCAGTCTATAGTGTTGTGCATTAGGGATATTTATAAGCTCTGTCTTTCCCCCAAGGAACCAAAGGAAGAGCTAGCCATGGAGGACAGCCCCTCTATGGTGAAAGTGGACAGGGGTGAGAACCAGGTTTCACCATGTCGAGGGAGAAGGTGCTTCCCCAAGGCTCTGGGCTATGTTACTGGAGATATGAAGGAATTCGCCAACTGGCTCAAAGGTATTTATGCTTTCATCCCTTGGAGAAATGGGAGAAGTAGCTTTGGGGGAAATGGCTTGCTGGTACTTCTATTTATATCTTTAGTAATATTCTCCAATCTTTTATCTATCTCTTAACTCTCCATTTTTCTTTTATATATTTTTTTTTAATTTTTATTTCATCATATTATGGGGATACAAATATTGTTAAGGTTACATATATTGCCCTTGCCACCCCTCCTCCCTCTCCCTACCCCTACTGTGTCAGAGCTTCATGCATGTCCATCCTCCAGGTGGTGCACATCACACTCATTACGTAAGTATACACCCATCCCCTCCTCCCTCTCCCACCTGCCCGCCACCCAATAAAGGTGTTTTGGGGTGGTTTTTTTTTGACATTTTGGTTACATTTTATATCTTTGCCTCTCCCTAAGAAGGGTTAGAGGTATGCCCTTCCCCTCCACAATGAACTCTCCATTTTTCTAATTTTTCTTTTCTTTTTTTTTTTTTTTTTTTGAGACAGAGTCTCGCTTTGTTGCCCAGGCTAGAGTGAGTGCCGTGGCATCAGCCTAGCTCACAGCAACCTCAAACTCCTGGGCTCAAGCAATCCTACTGCCTCAGCCTCCCAAGTAGCTGGGACTACAGGCATGTGCCACCATGCCCGGCTAATTTTTTCTATATAATTTTTTAGTTGGCCAATTAATTTCTTTCTATTTATAGTAGAGACCGGGTCTCGCTCTTGCTCAGGCTGGTTTCAAACTCCTGACCTCGAGCAATCCGCCCGCCTTGGCCTCCCAGAGTGCTAGGATTACAGGCATGAGCCACCACGCCCGGCCCTAATTTTTATCTTCTAACCTGCAAATCTCTTTGATTTTTTTCTTTTTATGGAGCTGGTGATTGGGTCCAGGGCACTGTTTATATTAGAGGAAGGCACCCAGCTCCATTCTGCAATTTCAGTACTTAAAGCTAAAATTTTATTATTGGTAATTCATTACTTTGGCTTAAGAGTCTGTACCTTTCTGAACATGCTAAATAAATGCATTAGATGCTTTCTGGGGCTTAGATTCTAGCAGAGACAGTGTAGGTTGAACATAAAGAAATGAGATGCATTGAATTCAGTATTAGGCTAGGAAAAAAAAAGAGAGGGATGCTTTTGGGGATCTGGGTGCTACTAAAGGGACAAAGAGTTTAGAGAGAAAAAGAAAGGAATATCAAAAATATGTTTCAGCTCCAGGGGATTTTTGAGGATTTTGCTCAAGGTGGGGCCTGGAATTGAGCAGGAACATCATGTGTTTGGCCACTTCCTTAGTTGTGCTCATGTCATGTGTCTTCCAGACAGGCCTGTGATCCTTCAGTTTGTCGACTGGATTCTTCGGGGCTTATCCCAAGTGGTGTTTGTCAGCAACCCCATCAGTGGGATCCTCATTCTGGTGGGACTTCTGGTCCAGAACCCCTGGTGGGCTCTCAATGGCTGTGTGGCAACAGTGGTCTCCACCCTGACCGCCCTCCTGCTCAGCCAGGACAGGTAGGCACGTCCTTCCGAGACACAGGGCTGACCACCGGCTGTGGGCAGCAGTGCTAAAGCCACGTCCTTCCCCGGAGAAACAACCTTTAGTCCACAGAACTCTTTATATTTGCCTTTAGTCAGGGTATCCGTTATGGCCTCTTATTCTTGGCATCTGAATAAGTGGCCAGTCTGAATGATGCCAGATTCTTGTGGCATTACATGGTAACCAAAACTAAGCTACAAGTAATCCCCAGGAGAGGTTCTAAAGGGATCTTCTTTGATGATTGATAAAATTACTTGTCATCAGCGTTCTGTTAGAGGAGAATTGCATATGAGTTCATGAAAAGTCTTAGTGGCTTAACAACCCTGTTATATCTTGTTGTCATGCTTAGTTTAGCAAATTCGTTCTTCATAGACAGTGCAAAGGTCACTCAGCTCCTGGGGAGATGAACACCCATAAATTCAAAGTAAGTAGATTCTGACTTGTGAGTCTTCTGATAGATGTGTTAGGTTAAAAATACTATGTACTTTATAAATTGATCTGTCATTTGAAAAAGTGATAAGCTGGCTCCTACCAGGGGGGAAGACGGCTCTTGACTAGCCAGTTTGTTCCTTCAGGGGGAAAACCAGTCTTCAGGGCTTCCAGGACCAATGCATAATCCCCAGTGATGGTCATTACACAAGGAAACTTTTGTAGCACTTGTTGTAAATCACCTAAGGAGGGCCTCCGGGAAAGAGTCATTAAAATGCTCTCTACTTTTCCATCAATTGCAAGGAGCCTGATTAGCTCCCTGCAGAGGGTGATTTTTGTATCTTAGATTAAACCCTATTCCAAGGCAGACCAAGAAATGGTCTTCCCAGTTTAGGGATGGAGTCTAGGATTTTGCCATATTGAATATTCCTTCATTGTTTTGCTCCAGTGAAACATGATCAACCCCATTTTCCCTGTCAGGTATTATTTAGAAGACAAGTCATATTTACATATGTTCACTTCCTTGGTCCAAGAAAGGCTGCATTAAAATGGCAACCCTCTGTTTTAAGTGAATACATGTTGCTTTAGCGGTGGCATTCCACATCTTACAGATGTATGCCATTAATTTTCCGTTGATCAAACTCAAGCATTAAATCGCCAAGTCAGTTGTTGAGAGGACAAGCCTTTGCATAGCTCTCTACTGTCATTACTTGTAGTCCCAGTTTCTGAGTGACAAATTGCATCACCTCCCACATGCCCTCCAGGATTTATTTAAGAGAGACAAAGAAACTTTGAACAGGGAGTCCCATCTCCATTGTTCCCATCCAGATGAATGTATGTGATGTCATCTTGCCTGTTGCAATGGTGCCTCCTGGCCCAGCTAGCAACTCTCACGCCATCCTTTCCTGGCCCCTGCAATGACTGCAGCATCTCCGCCTTAGGCCCTGCATTCACCCTCCCCACTCACTGCACCATCTTCACTCCCCATCCTCTGGCTGACACAGCCCCTGAGTGCCAGGCGCTTGGGAAGTGGATCCTGTGCCCTTCCTTGTGCCAGACTTCGCCAACTCTTGGAGCCCTGGGGGATAGGAGGCTGGCTTGTTAGCACTGGGGCTTACTCTACAGAAATGGTCCCATTTCTCACTCAGAGCTTCCAATTCCCAATTATGAAATAGGGACCATTTGAGCCAGAGTAGAAACTTACCCATAGGACAACCTTTAGAAGGGAGATCAAATACTAAACAAAAATGAACCTCAGAAAGAAGCAGGTGCTAAACATGCACATAATTAAATGGGCTACTTTTCCAAACAAAAGAAAAGCAACTGTTTTTTTGTTTGTTTTTTAGCAGAAACACAACACAAAACAACCCCAACTCTTTATTTCACTTCTTGGCATGCGCACACTCTCTTGACACTCTTCACCTTTGGCTCACTGATGAACAGGAGCTCTGAGTTGCTCCAGGTTTGCTCTTCCTTCTACATTAGACAGGGGAGTAAAGTGAATAAGAAAGGATTCAGTGGGCTTCCTTGGTTGTATTTCATACAACCCATTGCCCTCTTTCTGTGTAAAAGCAACTGTTTTTCTCTACAATATATAATCTGTGTTTGGAGACAACAAAATAGAAGCACAGGAACATGAACATGTATGCTAAGTTGGAAAATTCATGTTTACAAAATCAAAGACACTATGAAAGTGAACTTAACATTTCAGGAGTCTAACATCTCTTACCAAGAAATCAAACTTAGGAAACAAGTGTCATGTGCTAAAAGTTCTATTCAAGTCAGAGGCTCTTAATGATTTAAAAGAAATAATATTAATTTTCCGAAGAAGCAGATAGAAGTTTGCAGAGCAGGTTGCCTTACTGATTCCCCTGTCCTCCCTCAGGCTGTCTTGGCTGTGATATCAGCCTGTGGATATCCCTATGGAGGGAGTTGTTCTATATGCACCTTTGTATTTTTATCTATGTATCTTTTGCTTCTTCATATTTTCATTAATATTTCTATGATGCTTACATAGACTTTGAAATACATTTCCAAACATAATCTCATTTTCTAATGTGCACATAATTACCAGTGTTATTTATGTGCGAGTCCAACACAGTACACCTGGGAAATGTCCGTGCCATGCCTCTTGCCCTGCAGGTCAGCAATTGCAGCTGGGCTCCAGGGCTACAATGCCACCCTGCTGGGAATACTCATGGCTGTCTTTTCGGAGAAGGGAAACTATTTCTGGTGGCTATTAGTCCCCGTATCTGCTATGTCCATGACTTGGTAAGTTATACCTGGTTTTCAAAATGCCTTTTTAAAAAAAAAAAATTATGGGAGGAGGAGGGAATGGGAGTTATTGTGTCATGGGTGCAAAGTTTCAGTGTTGCAAGATGAAGAATCATCTGGGCCCAGCGCGGTGGCTCACGCCTGTAATCCTAGCACTCTGGGAAGCTGAGGTGGGCGGATTGCTGAAGGTCAGGAGTTCGAAACCAGCCTGAGCGAGACCCCATCTCTACTAAAAATAGAAAGAAATTAATTGACCAACTAAAAATATATATACAAAAAACTTAGCTGGGCTGTGGCGCAGTCTGTAGGCCAGCTACTCAGGAGGCTGAGGCAGAGGATCACTTGACCCCAGGAGTTTGAGGTTGCTGTGAGCTAGGCTGATGCCACGGCACTCACTCTAGCCTGGGCAACAAAGTGAGACTCTGTCTCAAAAAATAATAATAATTATAATAAAAGAATGGTCTGTGGCAGTGACGAATGGCAATGCAAATTTCAGTGTTGCAAGATGAAGAATGATCTGTGGCATGAAGAATGGATGGCAGTGACGGTCGTGCAGCAGTGTGAATGTCTTCATGCCACTGAACTGCACACTTAAAAATGGGTACATTTTATGCTACCTGTACTTTACCAAATTTTTTAAACAATAAAACAATTTTTATGTGTACTGGAAACAGAAACAACCATTCAAAAAGATGTGTATTTCCTTACAACCAGGCATTATGTCTGAGCCCCTGCAGACCTCCAGTACCTTCCCCTCAACCAGAGGTTCCCAACACTGCTGCACACTGGTGCCTCCTGGGAGCATCAGCACATGCTGATGCACATGGCCCCACACACCTCCCAGCCCCCTCCAAGATTCTGATGTAACCGGACTGCAGCGTTGTCTGGGTATTAGGAGTTTGCAAAGCTCCCCAGCTGATTCTAAAGTACAGCCAAAGGCTGAGTGCCATGGCTCACACCTGTAATCCCAGCACTTTGGGAGGACAACGCAGGAGGATCACTCGAGATCAGAAGTTTGAGGCTGCAGTAAGCTATGATCTCAACACTGTACTCCAGCCTGGGTGACAGAGCAAGACCCTTCCTCTAAAATAAAAAAAAAATTATAGCCCAAGTTGAGCCCCACTTCCTCCATCAGTGGTTCACCCACTTGAACACTATTGGAATCACCTGGAAGGCTAGTTAAACCAAAGAAGTCTGCTCCCACAACCCAGGTGTTCTGATTCCATCCACCTGGGGTGGGGCCTCGGACTTTGCATTTCTTTTTTTTTTTTTTTTTTGAGACAGAGTCTCACTCTATTGCCCTGGCGAGAGTACCATGGCATCAGCCTAGCTCACAGCAACCTCAACTCCTGGCTCAAGCATCCTTCATTCTCAGCCTCCCAAGTAGCTGGGACTACAGGCACACGCCACCACGCCTGGCTAATTTTTTCTATATATTTTTAGCTGGCCAATTAATTTCTTTCTATTTTTAGTAGAGACGGGGGGGGGTTCACTCTTGCTCAGGCTGGTCTCGAACTCCTGACTTTGAGCAATCCTCCTGCCTCAGCTTCCCAGAGTGCTAGGATTACAGGTGTGAGCCACCATGCCCAGCGGAATTTGCATTTCTAATACGTTCCCAGGTGATGCTAATGCAGCTGGTGGAGGGATATCCCCATGCCCCTTCAAAAAAAATTTTTACTGAATTCAAAAATCCTACAAAATAGTTTCTCTGCTGGAATTGCCTTAAATCCTTTTTCTGGAAGCAAACATTTCCTTCATTCTATGTTGTACTTAGAATATAAAATACCAGTATGCACACAAATGAGAAGCATCTGCCGAAGGGCCATTCACTGCACCCACAGGTAGGTGTGTGAAGGAGGACCTAGCTGTAGAGCCAGCTTCCCCAGGAGGTGACTTGGGACCTGCTCTGAAAGATATGTTCAAGTGCAAGAGACCTCACCTGTGGGTGCTCACCTATCCCCCTCCCATGGTCCAGGAAACCTGGAGATCTGATCTTAAAGTGATGGGGTCCTTGATTGGGTCAGTAAGTGAGAGCCACACAGGGGCCTGGGGACCTTGTAATCCAATCCCCCAGTTTACAGACAGGGAAACTGGGAAGAAGTATCTAAGATGCCTAAGTTTACACAGTTATCAACAGCTCAAGTATGCAAACTCTGCCCGAACTGCAAGATCTTTTTCCTCCAGCCCATACCACCTGCCTCATTCCTTGAACAGTTTCTCTGTTCCAAAAATATGAATAGATATGCTAAAGACATGTAGAAACGATATATGCCACATTCAGGATGGCTGCCTCTGGTGGGGAGGAAAAGGCATTTGATCAAGTAGAGTTACCCAGGGGGCCTTAACAATATAGATATTTTATTTTGCATATCTTAAGTGCTTCAGAAATATTTTGAAAACCTTGGTACGTAAGGCACTCTGAGCAACTCCAGAGTATAATTTTTCAAAAGCCAAATAAGCTAAGAGTTTATTTTTGACTTTATATAAGAATTATTGTCTTGACAGTAGGATTTATCCCAGGTTTTTCCTTCTGTGGGAAGTTTAAAACACAACACTTTAGGGACATATTGGCAGATGAAACAAAGCTCCTCCATAGCATAGAGATTCAGTTTGTCAGCCTGGCTTGTCACATGCTCATTCTTCTTCTCTGTTCTTTTTCAGTCCAGTTTTCTCAAGCGCGTTGAACTCTGTGCTGTGCAAATGGGACCTCCCTGTCTTCACCCTCCCTTTCAACATGGCTTTGTCCATGTACCTCTCGGCCACGGGACATTACAACCCATTCTTTCCAGGCAAACTGTTTGCACCTGTATCCTCAGTTCCGAATATCTCCTGGCCTGACCTCAATGCCCTGGAGGTAAGATACACCATCATCTCACATTCCCCTGCCTCTGGAAGGTACCCAGTGACCCCCTGAGTAATTGTCCATGGATATCAGAGTCCCCTAGATGTTTAGCTGTAGGGTGGCCTTTCTGCCTTCATCTTGCCATCGAAAGCATTTGTTCTGCTTCAGAGCTTTTGGATGTAAGGGAATTTTTTTGAATGACTATTTGGCCAAAGCTAATTTCTCCTCCTTTTTTCTAAATATCTTCAGTGCTAGCTCCAAAGAACTGGATGCTCACTCTCAGAGCTCATTGCAGAACCTCTCTATTCTGCTTTTTGTTATGGTTTATCTCATAGAACATGTACAATAATCTAGGGTTCTCAAGCCTTGGTAGGCATCAAAATCACCTAGGGAGGTTTTTAAATATCAAAGAAGGCTTCATCTCAGACCCTCTAAATCGTAATCTCTGGGGGTTGGGACTTGTATGAACAAACTGTCCAAATTGTGATGTGGACTGGAGTTTGAGAACCACTACATCACAGGTTGTATATGATGTAGCTCTTCTAGATGGGCACAGAGAGATCACACATAGTTTAAAAAACCTGGTTAACCCAAATCAAATTCCAGCTCTTCCTGTTGGTGTTATTTAATAAATCTGTGTACAGTTTCTTGATTATTGAGAACAAGAGAACACTTGAAATTAGAGGAAAACCAAAAGAAACCTTACCTTTTTAATGTGCAAAAGACTGGCTCTCCCACTATCAGGTTATGAAACACCTACTTTGCTGAGTGATCAAAACACATGAGGAGCCTTTTCTTTAAGTAGCCTTTCTCAAGTAGCCTTTTCTTTAACTTCTTGCCCAGAAAATGATTGGGAGCATTTGGAAATAACTCAGAAGGAAAAATCAAAGATGTATTAGAACTACCCACAACAAACAATATTATAAAATAGCATGAAACTATCTAGAACTGCACTGTCCAATACAGGAGCCATTAGCCCTGGGTTACTATTTAAATTTAGATGTAAATTAGTTAAAAATCCGGTTCCTCAACCTCACTAGCCACACTTCAGATGCTCAAGAGCCACACATGGCAATTACCTACTGTATTGGACAGCACAGGATAGAGACTACTCCATCATCTTGGAAAGGTCCATTGAACGGTGCTGATCTGCGCAGTGGAGTCTTGTCCTTCTCACCCTGAACCCATCAGCCTGTCACCAGCACACTTCTTTGCCATCTCACCCAACCCAACACCCCATGGCTACCAGAGGGATAGTTCTGCCATCAAGTTCTGAGATAAAAGCTGTCTTTGCCAAGCTCCGTGGTCAATTAATAGATGAAATAGGAAATGACCTTGTGTAGACATGAAGACCCAGCATGGGCTGGAAGAATTTAGAGCCCTTCTTTGGGCAAAGTCAAAGTCACACTGTGGTCCACTGCACTGAGCAAGGACCAAGCCAACATATGGAAGTCAATGGTACATCCAGCCTAATACAAGAGGACAGTCACTGCCTCCAGAAGGTCCTTGCCAGGAGGTAACATGTAACCTAGAAATGGAGGATTGGGCAAGATGGTGGTGCTGGGGAAGGCGCCTTTCTGTAAATGGTCTTGCTCAACAAGAAAATGTCATGGGGAATTATGCCTACCCTGGCCCTACCAAAAGTTTTGTTATAAAAAATGATCATTGGTTGGCTTAAGTCAAACCCTATACCTTCTTGAGAACTACCATTCTGTGAACATGTTAGCTAAATTCAGTCTTCAGCCAGAGTGTAGACTTGTGACATTTGCATGTATTTTTTTGTTTTGAGGCCTGATTGACAGTTACTAGTAACTGAATAAGCAAAAGATGTTTTGACTTACTCTACATTCCACCTAATAACAGAAGGGTAAATATGTCCTTGATTCTTGAACTTGCCAATAATTTCTTCTACATCGTAAATAAGATAACCCAGCTTCTGGTCTCCAGCCTTAGTGTAAGCAACCAAGTCGCATAGCAGTAATAATATTTCTATTGAACATAGAGATGCATTGATGGATTGCCCTCAGCACTGATGGGCAGTTGAAAGCAAAAGAGGTGTCAGCTGTGCCCCCGGCCATCCTCAGTGGGAAGTGTGGCAGATCCCTGCAGCCAGGAGCAGTGACAGCAAACCAGGAGCTTAGCAGTAACCAAGGCTGAGTGTTAGTGCAAGCAGGAGAGCCAGTGAGCAGGGAGGAAGTTTCCAGAAAGCGTGTTCACCGTGCGCCAAGGAAGGGCCGATGTATCTCTGGGGATAAAGATGAAGAATGACTGGGATTTTTCTGTAATCAAAGAGAGAAAGAATTTTTTAAAGCAGTAACACTGATCTTGAAAGATAAGGCATGTTAAATCTAAAATTACATTGTACGAGTTTGCCAGGGTCCTTTGGGTTCCTATAGAGTTGTTTTAGTGGCCTCATTTATTAAATTTTTTTTGCAGTTATTGAAATCTGTGCCAGTGGGGATTGGGCAGATATATGGCTGTGACAATCCATGGGCAGGGGGCATTTTCCTGTGTGCCATCCTACTCTCCTCCCCACTCATGTCCCTGCATGCTGCAATCGGGTCGTTGCTGGGCACAGCGGCAGGTAAGCAGAAGACTCCTTACCTAGTACTGAGCACCTCCTCCATCCCACGCATTGTCTCGGGCGTCTTCTGTACTCCAGAGCTGCCTTGAGGCCTCTGCTTCCTAGGGACCAATGGGAGCTCTCAGCCTGCTTCCCCCTGCCCTCCCACCCCACCAGACTCCTTCCAGCGCATCCTGCTTTAGTCCCAAGTTCTGACCCCTCCTGTCTTGCTTAATAGGACTCAGCCTCTCGGCTCCATTTGAAGACATCTACGTCGGACTCTGGAGTTTCAACAGCTCTCTGGCCTGCATTGCAATCGGAGGCATGTTCGTGGCACTCACCTGGCAGACCCACCTTCTGGCTCTCGCCTGCGGTGAGTATCCCATGCGTCTTGCCGCTCAGGGCAGGGTTGCTCATGACTATGGGTTCAAAATCAAAAACAAGCGGTAACAAAGGACTGTGTGAGAAATTAGGGCTGGGATTCCAGTTTGGGCCAACTTGCTACCTATGTAAGTGTGTGAATAGGACAGCGACATCCTCTCTCTAGGAGTATTAAAGCTACCTCGGCCTACCTCGCTGGTTACTGTGAAGACAGGAGCTTGCTGCATCCAATTAACCATTCTAGAATATGTGCATCTTGGTGGATAGAAACTTGACTTGTCCTGTGTTCTTTATACTAATTGTTTAACCACAAAACCTCAAAGGCAGGGGTCCTCAAACTTTTTAAACAGAGGACCAGTTCACTGTCCCTCAGACTGTTGGAGAGTGCGCACTGTGGGTCCAGGACGAGTCGGCTGCTCAGCAGGACAGGCAGCGGTGGCAAAAACACCCGGAGAGCCAGATAAATGTGCTAGGCGGCCCACATGTGGCCCACGGGCCATAGTTTGAGGACACCTGCTCAAAGGAAATAACTCAAGCTAAATACAGAACCTTGTCCCTGGGAGAGTCACATGTGGCCCTTGGAATCACATTAATCCAGCTGTTCCAAAACTCGAACATGCTTCGGAGTCAACTGAAAGATTTGTTAAAACACAAATTGCAGGGCCCCATTATCACTTTCTGATTCAGTGTTCGGGGAGGGGGGAAGAATTTGCATTTCTAGTCAGTTCCCAGGCTGACGCTGCTTTTCTGGGGACAGATTTCGAGAACCTCTGTGTTAATCCTTTCTGATTCCGAGTATTCTAGCCATGCTCAGCCTGTCAGAGCTAGAAGGCATTCTGGAGACTTCCACTCCATCCTTTTCATTTCACTGTGGGTACTGAGGCCAGAGAGGTCAAGGGATGTACTGAAGGCCATCCGGTCAGTTAGGGGTAAATCCACACCTGGAATCCACTGTTGCCAACAGCCCCCAGAGTGACTCCCACTACACCCCTCTGCCTCCCTGTACACTCAGGCCCTGAGGCAACCCTTAGGCTAAAACAGACCTCACATAATTGGAATCTGAAAAGCTAGTGGATTGCCCAAGCTGATTACAAAGGGAGGCTTTTTGGCCCATAGCCCCTGGTGTTCCTAATTTAATGCAAGTAAAAGCATTTAAGATGGTATTCTGGAGTGGAGGGAATGATAATCCCTTGGAGACAAAAGGGTGAAAGGATTAGTGGAATGTGGAGAAATTGTTACTAATTTAGTGGAAATATATGTCTAGAGTCTGTTTATCACCAGATTAATCAAGCCAATATATCTAAGCAGTCATTAAAATGGCGGGCCACTGCCAGGCAGGATTTGGACCAGATTCCTACCTTGGCAGGAAAGGGGATGGGACCAAGGGTTTCTAAGATCTTGTTCAGTTTTGACCTGATGCTCTAGCGAGGTTAACAAAACTCAGGTGGCTCTGGTGTTGCCGTTTAGATGTCATTTTGTCAACCTTTTCACAGTTACTCACCTCTTTCACCTAATAGTTCTACCAAAACTTCACGTTCATTCTCCTTTTTTGTTCACAGGCTTAGGGAAAGGGAGAGAGTTAAGGACAGATTCCGTGGCCACCTGAGCACAGCTGGATTAGAATCTTTTATCTCACAACCTGCCATCTTTATTCTGAGATGGGCTTAGGGTTTCAAACCTTTATTTGGGGTGCATAGCTTTATGTTTTCTGTAGGCGGTAGCAGCAAATATGTACCAAGCACTCGTGATACAGCCCAGACAGCACTAGGAGGAGTGAGGGGTGTAGAAGCATTAGGTCCCCCGCATTTCTTGAGGACACAGTGCCGCTGTCTTGCGGACAGTGGAGGGGAGAAGCCAGGTGAGGGAGGGAGCCCACGGGAGGCCATGCCATCTTGGTAGCTGAACAAGGAGAAATCTACAGGACAGGACTCTCTGGGTGAATGTTACAGTTCAAAATCATCGAATGCCTCCTGGCTTTTCCATAAATCCTAAAAAATGAGAGGAGCGATTCTGTTTAGTGGAAAGGATGGTGTGTACGGGCCAGCATGGGGACAGCCTGAGCACATCCTTTAAGTTTAAACAGAAACCATTTGGGGCACAGGAGGTGTTGGTGAGGTTTTGACACACCATGGAGAGGGATGAAGCCAAACACGTTTGCAGAGGTGTTTGCCTAAAGAGGAAATATCCTTGTTATTTTCTTAGTTATATTATTTTCTTATTTCTTTACTATTTTCTTAATTATAGAAGCAGTACAGGTTTGTTGTAGGAAATAAAACAAAAATTCAATCAGTATAGAAAAGTATAAAGCAGAAAGTGAAAATACTCCATCCTACTCCCAGGTAGAACTTTTTTGCCTCCCTTTTTTAAGGGCTCTTGTGATTACATTGGGTCCATTCGGATAGTGCAGGTTGATCTCCACTTCAAGGTTTTTAGTCACAGCTGCAAAGTTCCTTTGGCCATGCGTAACAACCCACAGGTTCTGGGATGAAGAGGTGAACATCTCTGGGAGGCCATCATTCTGCCCACCCCCACTGCCGTCCTTTGGGTAGATCTGATTTCTCTACCAGCATAGCCTAATGGTCAAAGTAGTGAAGTGAACTAGCTAAGAGCTCAGACCCTGGTGCCAGGCTGCCTGGATTCATATCCCAGCTCTGCTACTTAACAGCTTTATGAACTTAAGCCAAAGACTTAACTCTTCTGTGCCTCAGTTTCCCCATCTTAAAAAAATGGGGGTTACAGTATTTACCACATAGCATTGTTCGGAGGATCCAATGAGCCAATGTGTATATAAAGCACATAAAACATAAACAGTGTCTGGCACTTGGTAAACACTCCTTAAGGGTCTGGAAGTAACTTTCTCTGGTGGCTTTGTGTAACTTATTAAGATCAAGTTTGTCTATTCACCCCTCTCGACTTATTTTTTTTTTTTTTTTTTTGAGACGGAGTCTCACTCTGTTACCCAAGTGCCATGGGGTCAGCCTAGCTCACAGCAACCTCAAACTCCTGATCTCAAACAATCCTTCTGCCTCAGCCTCCCAAGTAGCTGGGACTACAGGCATGCGCCACCATGCCCAGCTAATTTTTTGTATATATTTTTAGTTAGCCAATTAATTTCTTTTCTATTTTTAGTAGATATAGGGTCTCACTCTTGCTCAGGCTGATTTTGATCTCCTGACTTTGAGCAATCCCACCTCAGCCTCCCAGAGTGCTAGGATTATAGGCCTGAGCCACAGCGCCCAGCCCCCTCTCGACTTCTTAAGTTTGTCAATACTTATATCTCCCCAAGTGTGAACTGATAGCTTAGCCTGCTTTTCTTCCTCTGGGGGGACCATCTCCTAACAACTACTGATGCCGTTGATATTGTGCACAATTTTTATTTTCGATTTGTAAGTATATGCTTTTATTTTTTGGTACTTGCTTATTTAGGCAACCATAAGCTTTATTATTAAATAACGTGCTTATTCACTCTCACTCCTGATGGCTCATATTAACCTGTGTCTCTGTGTCTTCTTCCTGGGTTCCTTCTTCAAAGAGGGTTTCAAAGAAGGTTTTGCGAGGTAAACTTTCAAAGACCCTGAATGCCAGAGAACATCTTTATCTCACTCTTATTTGAATTTTAGTTTAGCTGCCTGCAAAACTCTAGATTTAACTTTTTTCTCTCAATACTTTGAAAATTGTCTTCAAACTCTACTCCATTGTCTTTTTAAACCCCAAATTGCTATTAAGATGCCTGAAAATAATCTGATTCTTGTTAGAGGTGATTTTATTTTTCTCTCTGGACTCTTAGAGTTTTCTCTTTACATATGAGATATATATATATTTTTTTCCCACTATTGTCTGTCTATATGTGGGTTGTTTCCTTTTTGGTGCTACTAGGCACTCACAATGTGAGTGCTCATATCTTCCTTTAATGCTGAGATATTAGCAGTGTTTCATTTCTCAAATCTTTTCTTTTTCTTTCTTTTCTTTGGAGGAATGGGGGACAGAGTCTCACTTTGTTGCCCGGGCTAGAATGCCATGGCATCAGCCTAGCTCACAGCAACCTCAAACTCCTGGGCTCAAGCAATCCTCAGCCTCCCGAGTAGCTGGGACTACAGGCATGCGCCACCATGCCCAGCTAATTTTTTCTATATATTTTTAGTTGGCCAATTAATTTCTTGGTATTTTTAGTAGACATGGGGTCTTGTTCTTGCTCAGGCTGGTTTTGTCCAGCCTTGGCCTCCCAGAGTGCTAGGATTACAGGGGTGAGCCACCACGCCCAGCCCTCAAATCTTTTCCAATTATTTTTCCCTCTCCTTCTGGGACTTCTAGTATTTGAATGCAATACTTTTATGTTAATTTTTTCATAACTATTGACTTTTTCTTAATATTGTCCATCTCTTTCTCCCTTCATGAGGCCCTCCGGTTAGATTGATCGACTGGATCATTCTTTGACTCTCACCATTGTGCTGATCACGCCTTCTTTTGAGTTCTTCGCCTCCGGTTCATTAATTAAGCTCTATCAACTGTAGGTTGTTCAGTCTGTTGCCCTTCTTTTATGGTGTTTGCTGTCTTCAGATGTCCCTGGAGCTTATGTTTACTCAGGATATCAGCTGTTTGGGTGGCATCTCTGAGCGGGGAGTAGAAGCCCAGGGCTGAACAGGCATCTCTTCTGGTGCATCTGAGGAGTTGGGGGAGGGGGAGGAAGTGCTATATTGCAGGGTGTAGAACCTCCAAGCTCAAGACAGCAGAGATGGCTGGGGTGTAGGTACTTTCTACGACAAGTGCCCTCTCGCTGGGAGAAGTTCAGATGGCTTCTAGTTCAGAGCCATTACCAACAGTGCTGCAAGAAACATTTTTGGTATAAGTATCCTTATGTACTTTGTACAAGTATTTCTGTAAGATGTATTTCTAGAAGCCGAATTGATAAGTCAAAGGAAATGCCGATTTTAATTTCCATAGATGCCAAATTCATCCCCAAAAGGGCCATACCAATTTCCATGGCTACCAACAGTGTGTGACAGTGCCCATCTGGTCCCCAGTGGGTGCTGTCAGACTTTTTAATCTCTGCAACATGAATGTTTGGGACGGACCTCCAGCCCCTCTGGGAAAGCAAATCTCACATGTAAAATGCCGCAGCAAGTTTCAGCTTGACCACCTCACCCTGACACTGCCAAACAAAAGCCCAACCTTGACAGTCAAGGTAAATAAATAACAGACATTTATTACAGAGCTATTCTTTTATTGGGTTTTTATCAGGAAGTGGACTTAGAAAACTCTGATAGAACCTGGCAGTGCTGCCTTCCCAGCCTCTAAACCAGAAATTGCACAGCCAGAGAATTCCTCAGTGTCGCCGTTTTATCAGTAGACGCTATAAACACAGTCTATATGTCTTTTCAACGGTTGTGTTATCAGAGGAGGACTCACACGTGGCAGTCGGTTGGAAGGGACACTGTCTGTGAAAAGCTGAAGTCCAGCCTTCCCTTCAGTACTCAAGGGCCTTTTCTTTCCCTGAGCTACCAAAAAATGCTGTCAGGGTCATTGCCTACAAGCTGCCCATGGTGTGCAGAATTCCCTCTCTAATGTAAGGCTTTCCCAGTCCTCCTCAGCGAGTCTTAATTGATGGGTACTGACCACTAACTAGTCTGACACTTCTAGCAACTTAGGAGATCACTTCAAAACACTGTAACAATATGAAACGTGAAAGTGCCAAAAGTGAGCCTTAGAAATGTAACAGGTATTTTTTTTATTTCAAACTATTACAGGGGTACAAATGTTTTTAGTTACATGGATTGCTTTTATAATGCTTGAGTCATGGTTATAAGTGTGCCCATCACTCAAATAATGCTCATTGTACCTGTTAGGTAAGTTTTTCCCTCCTCCTCCGCCCCACCCCTCCCCCACTTGATTTCCATTGAGATTTACTTCCCTCTGTGCACATGTGTGCTCATCAGTTACTTCCAATTTCATAGCAAGCACATGTGGTGTTTGTTTTTCCATTCGTTAGATACTTCACTTAGGATAATGGTCTCCAGTTCCTTCCAGATTATGGCAAAAGGCATTAGGTCATCCTTCTTCATGGCTGAGTAGTATCCCATGGTATACATATACCACATTTTGTTAATACATTCATGAATTGATGGACACTTGGGTTGATTACACACCTTTGCAATTGTGAATTGTGCTGCAATAAACATTTGAGGGCAAGTGTCTTTTTCATAAAATGACTTATCTTCCTTTGGGCAAATACCCAGTAGTAGGATTGCTATATCAGAATCTCCATACTGGTTTCCATAGAGGTTGTACTGATTTGCACTTCCACCAACAGTGTATAAGCGTCCCTTTCTTTCTGCATCCACACCAGCATCTATTGTTTTTGGACTTTTTAATAAAAGCCATTCTAACTGGGGTAAGGTGATATTTCATTATGGTTTTGATTTGCATTTCCCTGATGATTAGTGATATTGAGAATTTTTGCATATGTTTATTAGACATTTGTCTACCTTCTTTTGAGAAGCTTCACTTCATGTCTTTTGCCCACTTTTTAATGGGGTTGTTTGATACTTTTCTTTGCTGATTTGCTCGAGTTCTTTGTAGATTCTCATTGTTAGTCCTTTATCGGATGTACAACTTGTGAATATTTCCTACCATTCTGTGAGTTGTCTGTTTGCTCTGTTAATTAGTTCCTTAGCCATGCAGAAGTGTAACAAGTATTTTAAAAAGAGCAATGATAATAAGATCTCCTGTGCTCAGGGGAAATGTTCTCACAGAGCTGGTCCTCAAGAGAGCAGGGATGGAGTGTCCCTGGTGCTTAGCAGTGAATAGTTGTTGAATTAATTAATTAATTTAATTATTTAAATGAATGAAATTGATGAAATCAAATAGAGAAACCCTTCTAACCCAAGCCAAGAGCGCCCTTCTGTTCAGAGCAGTATCTCAATCCCAAGGTGAAAGGGATGAGTTTACAGCTGCTGTTTGCAGAAATACATGATCTCACTTGCGATTCATCACCTCCCTGTAAAGCAGATCTTCAAGTTGCCTTTTTACAGATAATGAAACCAGATCCTGAGAAATTGAGTGATTTGTTATACAACAAATAAGATGGCAGAGCTGGGATATGAAACCAGTACTGTTTCCAAAGACCAGGCCTTCCCACTAGCATGAGACAATTCAGCTAAGAAAGAATTCATTATACTATTGAATGAGCAACACCAAGATGAAAAGAAAAAAATATTGATAAAAGGACAGAAGTCTGTATAGTAAAGTAAATGAGGCTCACAGAGTGCTTCCCACCTTTTCCTGATGGGAAGATAGCTGATGTGGTTTCTCGCCAAACATGAAGACAAGACGGTGAGTGTGTGACAGTAAGCTCTGGTGGCCTAAGTGGCTGTGTGGCCGTTGTATGGAGGGCATTTTTCAGGCTGTCCTTGTGCCATCCAAGGGCTTCCCTGAACCTCCTTAGGCCCCCTCTCCAACCAAAACTAAGGAATTAATGATCAGCTAGTTGAGATCTTTGTTTTTGTTGTTTTACATTGAAAGTGATTTTTTTTGCTCACTCAGTATAAATAAAAACATAAGATGTTTATTCACTGACATTAATGTATTTGGAAAAATGTTATCGTGGGGAGGAATCTCAAATTTGTGTTCAGTTTCTTCTGTTCTCCTAGTTGTTACCTTGCTATTTTCATATACCATAGGATTTTTTTAGTATAATGTGCTGCCAAAGTGAGCACTGTACCATGATCCTTTGTAGCTGTGAATTGTAACCATTAATATGAGAATTCTAGATGCAGCGAGATTGTATACAGACCATACTATTTCAAGAAATATTCATAAGTTTCATTTTAATTCAATTATGCTTAGTAAAACAAAAGGGAAATGTATTTGCCATGGAAGGCCTTCCCTTAAATATTAGCAGTAACAACAAAATAATAACCACAAAAAAAACCTTACTTTTATGGAGCCCTTACTGTGTGCTAAACACAAACATTATTTCCTCTCATGCTCACACCAACCCCATGAGAGAGAGATTTTTATCACTTCCATTGTGCTAGGGAGGAAATGGAAGCTTAGAACAGAGTTCACAGAGCCCGTGGTAGAGCCAGGACTTGAACTCAGAGCTGCCAGCTCTAGGCTCATGCGTGCAGCCAGGGCGCTGGGCTATCCGGTAGGATGTGAGAGTGTCCTTTCCAGGGGATTTATGTTGGAGGGCAGTCTTTCCTGTGATTAAAAGTGCATCTAGCCAGGCGCGGTGGCTCAAGCCTGTAATCCTAGCACTCTGGGAGGCCCAGGCGGGCAGATTGCTCGAGGTCGGGAGTTCGAAACCAGCCTGAGCGAGACCCATTGTCTACTAAAAATAGAAAGAATTAATTGACAACTAAAATATATATACAAAAATTAGCCGGGCATGCCAACAAGTCCCACCCGCCCACTCCCAGGTGGCATCTGTAGTCCAGCTACTCGGGAGGTTGAGGCAGGGAGGATTCACTTGAGCCCAGGAGTTTGAGTTGCTGTGAGCTAGGCTGATGCCACGCACTCATCTTTAGCCTGGGCAACAGAGTTAGACTCTGTTCAAAAAAAAAAAAAAAAAAAAAAAAAAAGTGCATCTACCAAGCATTCTTCTTTCCTCTTTTTTGTAGCCCTGTTCACCGCCTACCTCGGAGTCAGCATGGCGAACGTAATGGCTAAGGTGAGTTTGCTATAATCTCACTTTAGCATAACTGACCAGCTTTCAACTAAATGGAAAAACCCTCCTGAAGCCCACCTGGGTGGTGTCCAGTGGCGGGATCCACGGCCGGGGTCCCCACCACCCTCCTCCTGCTGGAGCTCTCTGGCCTCCCTTCCAGCATCGCACTCAACTTTAGTCCAAACTGCAATCACCCGGCATGTCACAAATGCCAGGTTGCTAGGTTTAAGCATAATGAAACTTAAGTTGTATAACATTATCAAGTTCATAGTCTAACTCTGAGTGATAAGAAGTTGCCGTTAGAATATCTTTTCCTTAAACAGAAAGTCAGAACTATATAACAGTTGAGAAACCAGGAAAGGGAGCAACAAGGTAATTGGCTAAAGATCCAGATGTTGTTGTTGTTGTTAATCTGATCAATAGTTTTTCATACCTCTTGTCTTTTATTAAATCCCCAGTTATCAATAAGAATTATTCAGACCCAGGTCCTCCCTGAATTACTAATATTTAGTAGGCAAATTCTTTTCCTATTAAGTGCTACCTGGTACTCTTTCTCCTCTTCAGCCCCATACTCTTGCCCATTGACCTCCTTCCCCTCCCCTGATAAGCCCAGTCTCCCTAACTCATGTCCCAATGCCCTGAACTTTTCCTTACCTGCCATTGCAGGTGATGCAAGGCCAGTTCTGACAGCTCAGTCCATGTTGATGTGCTCATGGCTGCCAAAAAGTCAAAGCAGTATCTGGCCCTCTCAGAAGCAGCATAGAGATTTTGTCTGGGAGGTTCCTTATGGAGACACCATGTCTTTATGGTGGAAAGCCGAAGTCCCATTGCAGGCATGCAGGATGGGGAGTACATCAGAGCATGTGGGGCCTTCACATTCCAATAAAGAAGGTTTACAGGCATCTGCCCATGGACCAGAATGGGCAAGCTACACAACGGTCAGCTAGAGAGACTTTGAAAAACACAGATTCTTAGGCCCTGTCCTCTGACATTTCTTTTTTTTTCTTTTTTTTTTTTTTTTTTTTTTTTTTTTTTTTTTTTTTTTGAGATAGTGTCTCCGTTGCCCTGGCTAGAGTGCCATGGTGTCAGCCTAACTCACAGCAACCTCAAACTCCTGGGCTCAAGCGATCCTTCTGCCTCAGCCTCCCAAGTAGCTGGAACTACAGGCACGCACCACCATGCCTGGCTAATTTTTTCTATGTATTTTTAGTTGGCAGTTAATTTTTTTCTATTTTTTTGTAGAGATGGGGTCTCACTCTTGCTCAGGCTGGTTTCAAACTCCTGACCTTGAGCGATCTGCCCACCTCGGCCTCCCAGAGTGCTGGGATTATAGGCGTGAGCCACCGAGCGCGGCCCCCCTGACATTTCTGATAGAGTAGGTCTTCTATGATGCTTGGCCACTTGTTTTTTAAAAATAACTCCCCCAGATGATTTGCATGTGCAGACAGGTTAGGATACTCCTACACTCCATCACACCCCAGGATCCATGCCTAGGGCCAGAGGTAACCAATGGTATACGCTCAGAATTGTGTGAGTTGCCATGGATAGCACAAAGAAGGACCTACCCTCAAGGAACTTAGTGTCTGTTTGAGAGACACAATGGAAAAAAGCAAAGCAAGTAGAGAAAAAAAGCAAAGCAAAAGAGCAAGACATAGACTGGGCAGGAGTTGGGGTCAGAGAGGTCACTATAGGCTGGACTAGTCAGAGAAGGCCTTGTGGATGTGATGTGTGGTCAGGACCACTAGCAGTTTGCAAGTGTCATCTCCACATGTTCCCAGCACCATCTTTTCACAGCCAAGATAGGGTATCTGGATGCATGAGAAGGAGAGAAAGACATGCAAGGTAGAGACATAACTGGCCACCCTAAACATTAGATGGAAATAGTCCAACTACTAAATGTCCTGAGATCTTTGACTCAGTCCCCACAAGCATAGGCAGAGTCCAGGGCAATACCCCCAGTGAGTCCTCCTCCTGGGCTGAATGGGAACAAGGGGGGGTGCTCTGTGCACCTTAGCTTTCAGATGGGATCTCAAATGAGCATGTGTCCTGTCTCTTCCTCCCCAGGTTGGATTGCCAGCTTGTACCTGGCCTTTCTGTTTGGCAACGCTACTTTTCCTCTTGCTGACCACAAAAAACCCCAACATCTACAGGATGCCCCTCAGTAAACTCACTTATCCTGAAGAAAACCGCATCTTCTACCTACAAACCAAGAAAAGGATGGTTGAAAGCCCTTTGTGAGAAAAACCCCATCCACAGCCATGGTCGTGAGTCATTTCTGACTGACTGTTCCAGTTGACCTCCAGGGTCTCAACAAAAACAACTTTCATGCTAACCCATCAGCATTCTGTTCCTATGCTCATTTTGTATTTTTCTTTTCAACTCCAGGAATATCCTCAAGCATGTGGGAGCCACATTCAGGTGATGTGCTCCGGCATGGAATTTTAAACCCTAGAGGGGGTTGGCGCTAAGACTGCAATGTACATAAAGTCAAAATGCTCCAACAAAAAGAGGAAGTGAGACCAGAGCTAATTATTGATATTTATTGATATTCTTGGCGTTTAGTTGGCTAGATGATGTTCACAGTATTAAAAATTAAGCTTTATAAACCAACTAAGCCTTATGGAATTCACAGTCGGAAAATCAAAGTCAACCCACAATTCTCATATGAGCAGTCTGGCTTTTTAAAATCAATACAAGTTACACATTACAGCTAGGGTCAACATCACTGGGGTACAGGCTGATAGCTGAGGTTGTTCCCCATTTCCTCCCCAGAGTAGTCTCCATGCTGTCCCTAGCGTATGTGGCATTCTCTTTCAGGAGATAGTTGGGTTTTTTTCAGACTGAGAGCTACAGGGGCAGAAAGGGATTTTGTCAGTCACAATTACTCTGTCATTTTTCCACTTTGTTTGGAGATTGCAAAGAATTTTTTTTACGTAGAGATTTTTTCTCTACCTAAAGGATGAAAAATGATCTGTTTTCAATGAGATAAAATAAGAGCAGTTCCTGGCCTAAATAGTTCCTAGACATCTAAGAAAAGTTACACATTGTATTTATGAAATACTCAGCTTAGCTATTTTTACTTTAACTCCTAAATTGATTTTGTAGATACCACAAATGCACAGAATCATCATCAACTGGTAAGACCCCTTTAAAGTTACATTTTTAATTCATTTGTGGATGGGATGCCTTATAAAAACTAAAGGTTAAGGTCAGACTGCTTATGAGTGTGATTTTTAGAAATCAATGAATTTCTTACTTAAAAAAAAAACCTTATTATTTTCTGCACACTCACAATATTTTCTCTCAGAAACCAATAGTATTTGAACCACCCAAAAGAAATACAGGTAAGAAATTCTCCTGTTTTTCTCTTTTTAATTTATAAATTATCAGTTCTATAAAGGTTCTGTGACCAAACATGCTGAAGATGGCAATGGCAAGTTATGCTCATTAATTAAGTAGTATCCACTTAGTATTTTGGAGGTTGGAAAAGTGAAACTTTGGAATCCTGAAGGTTTTTTCCTCTTTGAGTTTGCAGTGCTCAGCATACAATATACCATTTGCTGAATGAATAATCAGGAATAGGGAAGTAAACCTAAAAATATTTTAGGGAGATGTTCACTTCTTCCTTTTCTCAGGAAAACAAACAAGCAAACATTGTTCCAAGTTAAAAACCCCATGATCAAAACCTTTTGAAATTATGGATTTGCAACTGTTGTAAGTATAGGGATATTCCTGTGGAAAAACTAAATTTTCAGTGTTTGAACTGAAATCTTCCTTGTTAGGGAATTTGTGAAATAAGAGCAAGGGGAAAGAAACAAACAAAAAAAGCTTAACCAAAGATGAGCAGTGAGGAATCCAGGCTGTGCCTTAGTGAACCAGAGGACTCTAAAATGGACCCAGGGCAATCCTCAGAACAGCTCTGATGTGCTCATTGCAGGGTTGTCTTGTGCACTCACACAGATTTGTAAATAGGAATGTCTTAAAGCCTTGTACATTGTCTGATTTAAATGGTATTAATTCTCTCAAGCTATTTTTGTTACTAAGTATTATCCCAAAATTGAGCACTTGTATTTTTTTCCTATTGTCTGTATAACAAATTTCTACACAAGTATATGAATAAATTATACTCAGAGCTCAGTTTTGTGTAATGTGCCTTTCATAACCATCATTTATATGAATGATCACATGCATAAGTATGTGTTGCTTATATTTCGTTGTGCTAGAATACTTACTCCTTTCTCATACTTGGTAATGGTACCAGACGTGTAGTTGAGCAAATCCTGTTCGATTTCAAATTGACAGGCCCACCCGTACCCTTGGGTGTCCTCTCAACCTTTCTTTGTTCTCCTCTCTCAGAGATGAGAATAAATTGCTGAGGACAGCTACAGACATTACCCATCAGAACAAATAAAGTTTAGCCATGTGCTCAAGTTCCAATTTTGTAAGAAATAAGTTGGATCCAGCTGTCTTTTATAAACCAGTGAATGTGTATGACTATCTCTTATCTAAAGTTCTGAGGTTAAAGCTATTGGACCTTTGTGTGTGTGTGTTTGTATGTTTAGATGTTAGATGTATGTTAGATGTATTTTGTGTATGTATGTCATATGTTGTGTCCACATGATACCAAATTGGCTTTAAATAAAGGAGCACTCATAAATTAAGTAAATAAGCTCAAATGCTTTTCAAGTTAACATTAATTTAGTAATCTTTGGTAAATAAGCTGTATTTTTAAAAAATATATTGGTAAAGTAAAAATAAAAATGTCTTCAAAATTGTCAGCACACATTTTTGCCTGCATGTACTGGTCATATTTATATTTACCTCTGCTTGATGTTTTAAGGTATCATGGTTTTACATGAAATTTATAAAACTATGAACTCAGCCAAAAACAGAATGCTCTTTGTTTGTGTGATTTTTGGTAAGTAAGACTAATTTATTATTGTTGGTTTAATGAAAACAGCTGAATCTTCTGAGTTATTAGCAAAAATACCCATGTGTTTAACTTTAAGGTTCTTACTTAGGTGAATATCTAATATAATAATGCCCCTGTTCACAGGCTATAAAAATGGTTAACTGGAAAATAACTTAAAATGATGATAACTAGCTTTGTCTAATATCTGAGTTTTAATAAGCAATCTAAGTAAACTGCTAAAATAAATATATTAGGCAAATATAAATGGCATAAATACTTATCAAAATTTTCACATAATTTTAAATCATAACATTATATTAAATCAAAAAACAGATACTCATTAAATGTCTCCATCATTCCAGTTTTAAAAATTATGTTATGGGGAAACATGTGTTTAACAATTATAAAAAGTTCTCATCTATAAAATACTAATATGTGACAATTTAAGTTTTCTTGCTTCCAAATTTTCACTAAAATTTAGGCTACTAAGAATAAAAATTCTAGACAACATATGTAATTCTATATATAAAGTGTACCAAAGAATAAAATGTTTTTCTAATAAGAAAAATTAGTCTGGTCATGGTGGCTCATGCCTATTATCCAAGCAATTTAAGAGGCCAAGGCAGGAGGATCACTTGAGGCCAGGATTTCAAGACCAGCCTGCGCAACATAGCAAAATCCTGTCTCTAAAAAAAATAGAAAAATTAGCTGGCTAAGGTGGCATGCATCTGTAGTCCCAGCTACTTAGAAGGCTGAGGCAGGAGGATCCCTTGAGCCTAGGAATTTGAGACTGCAGTGACTTGTGATGGCACCACTGTACTGCCTGGGTGAGAGAGTGAGACCCTGTCTTAAAAAAAAAAAAGAATAACATAAAAATGTTGACTGTATTGAAAAATAAAGGATAATTTTGTCTAATTTAGAGGTTATTTAAGATTATTTATAAAAGAAGGAAGAGACCAGTAAGTAAAAGACAGAGATGTGAAAAAAGTTATAGAAGGATAATTTTTTCTAATTTGGAGGTTATTTAAGATTACTTATGACAGAAAGTAGAAAGGAACCAGTAAGTAAGAGACAGATATGTGAAAAAAGTTATGGATATAACAATATATTTTTGGTACAGAAGGTTAAACAGAAAAGAGAATGATTTTGTATGAGAAAAGACCATGTATGGCAAATTTTTGTCCTAATGTAAAATGGTTATTTATAAAAGGGGAATTCAGGACAAAACAGAAATTCCAAGCATGTTGTAAATGGTCTAAGTCATGATAAGGTTTGTGAAAGGGAATTTATGAAAGGTATTTTCTATGCAATCAAGTTAACTATAATTAAGTGAGGAAATTTGGGGGCTTGAAACAATGAGGTTTTCTTAAATTCTTGATTTGCTCTTAGTGAAAGTGCAAAACATTTTGATTCTAATTCTATAATCTGCTTCTTTTGAAACTTCTCAGATTTATACCTCAGAAGTTCAACTTTAACTGTATCTTGCTACTTTGTCAGGTTTTTTTCTCTACTTAAGAAGGCCTGAGATGATAACCCTCTCCTTAAACCTTTTTGTCAGCTTCTGTCCTTATTTTTCCTTTGATTCTGAGTCTGTTATTATGATCTGACTCTGAAATGTTTATCTTAGAGGTCTAAAAAAAAGCATTGTTTTATTTGTAGCTTCTTGATATGTTTGAATTGTTCAATACGGTAAAAAAAAAAAAAAACCCACAAACTTCCCATGCCTTTTCTAAGAGTCATGTGTTCCCCTGTTCAAGGTACTAATTTTCTAGTTTCTAGTTTCTGTTATAATAAAATGTTCATTCTTGATCCTGAACACACCATTCTTATGCCCAATTAGTTCAAGTATCTTTTTTATCAGGTTTGACTTCCAAGTTGTCTAAATGGGCTTCCCATGAGAAGAAATAATTGCACTGCAGAAGGTTTTTCTTTACCTTTTGGCAATTGGCCCAAGAAACAAATATTTTATGTTTTAGCAAGATAAATCCTGTGTTGTCTTTATTAGGTTTCTGCTCACTTGGGAAAACTGAGCTTTAAAAAGTTAAGGTTTTTATATTCATGTAACTTTCTGTATTGCCTTTGATGTCATTTGATTATCACTCAGGGAGGGAAATCCTTCTCAGAAGCTCCCCCAAAATAATCTCACTTATGTCTTTTTGACAGAACTGAGTCATATGGCCATTCTGGCTGCAAAGGAGTCTGGGAAAGGACATATCTCGTTTTGTTGGCTTCTATTGTAACAGGTGAACTCTGCCATGTTGGAGCAAAACCAGGAGGAATGGCTGTTGGACAGGCAGCCAGCATGATAACATATAGTACCACCATGTAGTAAATGGTCCCTATGTGCCTACACTGGACACAGCCATGTGGTGACAGGCAAGACTGTCTATTATGGGATTCACAAAGGGGTTTGGGACAGAGACCTAGACCAAGACTTTCTACAGAAATGCTTTGCATAATACTTGCTTGAGTATTCCCAGAGTAATTTAGACACCCCAGCCTCACACGAGGTTGTCTAGCCTCCAACTATCAAGATTCCAAGCAAAGGATGAGACATGATAATGATCAGGCAAGGAAAGCTTAGGGTCAATTCATGCTCTAATTAGTTCTCTTGATGTAATGGTTGAAGCCTCTAAATCAGGCCACGTCGGAAGCCCCATTGGAAATAGTTGAGTTTCAATTCAGTTCCAGCTCAATGAAGTACTGAAAACAAGTGTCTGACAATTTCTGGTTCATGGTTTCAAATAAACAATAGGGAAGCCGGTTTCCTGTTTGGGTTGGGTCTGTTGGATCCTAGCCCATTGAAGCTTTGAATTATATTGCAATGACATGCAAGGACTTGAGGGGGAAGAAATGAAGCGCAGAGGAAAGTTGGCAAAGTGCCAGGAAACTCAGCTAAAATTAAGTCCTTCAGACCACAGGAATGGAAGCTAGGACATGAGTCAGTAGTCCAAATGCAAGTGCATTTGGGGCCAACAGGAGCACACACAGCCAGGCCATGGGACTGGCCAATCCAACAAGGAGGCCTTTCTATTTTCTGAGACCCCCATGTTGGCCTCTCAATGAGAGGGTAGATTTGTACTACCAAACACAGAAGCAGCTAGGCACGTGTAGCACTTGCAGTGAAGCTAGTGCAAATTGCGATGTGTTCTGCATGTAAGGTACACACTGGATTTCAAACACTTAGAACAAAAAACAAACATAAATATCTCAATAATTTTTACATTGGTTACATTTTGAAATGACAATATTTTGGATACATTAGGCTAAATAAAATATGTTGTTAAAATTGATTTCACCTTTTTAAAACCTTTTTTTAATATGGCCACTAGAAAATCTAAAATTACATATATGACTTGCATTTGTAGCTCACATTAAATTTCTATTGAACAGCACTGGGCTAGACAGTGCCCCAGCCCTGGGCTCTCAGTGGCTTACAAAGTCTCCATGGCAACTCAGATGGCACTAAGCTATTGGAACTCAAACTTCTGGAACTTCATTCTTCCCTTTGATAGATATAATGCATGGATAAGATATAATGATTCTGGAGTCTCTATTTCAAATCCATCAGTTCAAAGCTTCTAAATGTCAATTTCAGATAAAATTTTATACCTTTCCAGAAAGACTAAATCCTGTACATCTTGAAGATGTCATTTTTTTAAATAATCATAACATGGCTACAGAGTGATTTTCTTGTGTGTGCTGTGAAGTTACCCTGAAGGCAGTACCTGAAGTGGAGCCTCAGAAACACTCGCAGTTCAGGCAGCTGAGGACCACGGGGACAAGTAGGCTGCCTCTCATTGTGCCCATGTGCAGGACAACTCTCACCTGGATGGACAAATGCTCATCAATCCTAAGCAATGAAAAAGGTGAAAGATCTAGGTAGAAGGCAATACAGAACAGTGAGAACTACACCAAAATGAAGATCACACACCCTCCCCTAAAAGCATTCATGTGCAGATTTTTTAACACTATGCTTGCCAGACAAAGCACATTTGGGTGCTGGAATTCTTCTATGGGCTCCATTTTTCAAGTTCTATACCTCTTGCACTTCTTATAAACACTCTACAATGCTTGACAACTGGGGTATTTATCAGAAGAATGCATAAGGGCCTTTGAAAAATTCAAGTGTTCCCATCCCATCCTGGACCTTCTGAATCTGAATCTCTGACGACATACAGATGATGATAATAGGCCCTCCTATATAAAAGCTACTGCAAGTTCAGAAACTTCACAGAGCCCTGGAGGCTGGAGTAACTGGGGATGACTTCCTGGAGGAGGTATGACTCTGGCCTCCTTCTGACACATTCCCTCCTGGCTCACCTAGACTTGCCTTTGGAAGCTCATTTGGGTTGCTCCTGGATTTCCTGACCATTGCCCTTTCTAGAACTACCGCTAGGGTTCAAAGAAATGATGCTCTTATAAAGGGACCATGTTTTGGTGGGCCTCTAATTCACAGTTCAGGCAGTGTACACAGCAGATGGCCAGGGCCGAAGGAAGTGGCTGAGACACAGAATCTATTTTCTTCAAATGGTCAAAGCTTACACACATCAAATCAGCCCATAATATCCATCAGTTCTCATTTTGCTCCCATCCCATCCCACAGCCAAGCCAGTGTCACAGAGCCTGTCTTATCCACCCTCATGTGCTGCTGTGTGATTACTCCTTTCACCCATAAGGATGAGCTAGAAAGGTCTAACCACATTTTTCATGGACACAGAAATGCCTAAAGAAGGCTAACACTGTGACTCCCCAGGCCCTGCCCCCACTGCTCCCAGCATCCTGCCCTCCACCCACCATGTGAGAAAGGCTTGTGCTTCACGTTCCTCTCCTGGGGACCTCCTTGAACTGCCACGTGGCCCCACTAGTGCTGCTTCTGACCTACACATTGCTCATGGACAGCACCCCATTCCCTGCAACCCTACCCGTCACTGACATCGCAGGGACCTCAAAGCTCCAAGCCACATAGCCCATGGCAGCCTGAGGAGCCCTTTCCCCAGCATCCTGAATCTACCACCACTGCCCCCTCATCTTAAGAGCTTCCAAATTTAGGCCCTTCTAAGCCTCACAACTTTGGATTATTCTTCCCTGCACCCCACATCTAGGACTGACCTGCTGCTGGTTCATACCAGTACAGCCATTTAAATTATTAAAATATTGAAATCTTTGCATGCATTGTGGTGAGCGGCCTCTGCCCCAAGCCCTGTCACCCTGGTCCCTCTCTGGGACCTTTAGGAATTTCTTCACATCTAGCAACTAAAGGGTAGCATTCAGCACAGCTGAGAGTTGTAGCAGTAGTTCTGATGGGTCGGTTCCCTTGCCATGCCAGTGGTGTAAGGTTTTCTATGTCCCCCTGGCACCACATTGCAGGCAGATTTTGTATGCCTAGTGCTCATTGTAATTTAGTACAAGAAATCATTTCTTTCAAGTCTCCAAGATGGGGGTCTAAGGATTCGAGACTCAGTGTCAGGTGCATAAGGGGCTGGCAGGCACCTTGCAACAGAATTGTGCAGTCACACCTGCATCAGGCCAACACCTGCATGATGTGACCTGAGAGGAACCAAAACCGATACCCTAAGATGCCTTCACCAGTGGCCCACCATGGAGCCTAAAATTTCTCCACTCACTCATGTGAATTTCCAGCGCGAGAAGTGACACGGTGAGACCTCAGATATTAACACCCTGGTCAAATTAGTGTCTATCTGGTGTCTTCCCACTTGATAGGCAGCAAGAAAAAATGGTATATGGAAGGGATTCTAGAAAGATTAGTTTTGATGGGCAAATCCAAGGAAGGTGGCCATCCAGAACTAGAGCAGTGTCATGCAAAGGAAAGGAGTGAGGAGGAGGAAAGACATACAAGAGGAAATGAAGGACAATGCATCATTTAAGACTGGGATCCCCTGAGCACATTGTAGTGAAGAGACAACCCAGTCAACAAGGACCAAAAAGTCAAATTAGGTGTGAACCTAGGCCAGCAGAGCCTGTGCCCAGAAATCCTCGTGAGTTAAGAAGCAACCTCCCTCCTCCATGGCTACTTCCTCTTCTTGTAATCTTAGAATCCCAGCTTCCCTGCTCGAATGGCCATTTGTTGTTTCTGTCTTCCCAGCATGCTTCCCGCCTCCCTTTCCTTAAGGGATCTGCTCCTTCCCCATCCATGGGGTTCTCTTGGGGCTGTCACTCTCAGACACAGTAGAGCCCAGTGACTCAGACCTAGTCAGTCATAGCACTCCAATCTCCCAGCCACAAGGACTGGCCCAGGAAAGAGTCTCCTGACCCAAACTGAGCAATCAGATTCTTCCCTGCAGGAAATCTAAGTACACAGACATCCCAATATAGAAGGAAACTGGGGCTGGGGCTGACTACAGTGCTCTGGAGAAAAGCCATGAGATACCCAGAGCCACCCTGGTTTCTTTCTGTCCCAAGGCCAGATTACTATTATTTTGATGTAGTAACTAAATCTACTAGCTCCCTATCTTCATATCTTTCCAATAAGTTGGAATCTGTTTCTACCATTGCAACCAACAGTCCAAATAGATACAGAATATTGCAAGTGACACACCTAGAAGTCGGACCAGGCTGAGTGGAGAAGGGAGGGATCTGACAGCCCCTCCACACAGGTGAACCATTAAGTGATGTATACTGTGACCCACACCATGGGTCCCCATGGCTGAAGCTTTAGAATAGGCTTGGTAGGAAAATGCCACAGTATTAGAGAGTTCTGACTACTTTTTTATTTTTTACTTGCACTAAAGCAGGATGCATGGGCATGTTGAGGTTGCCTCTTCCTGCCTTTAGCTTATGCTCCAAGACCCCTGGGGGCTCAATGACTCTGGTCCCTGCCTGTGCGAGTTATTAAGCTATTGTCTCCCAGTTCCAAACCCGCCCTTCTGTACTCTGTTCTGTGATGCTGGGTTTGGGACTCTGTGACCCAGTTTCCCTTTGCCTGCTGGCTTCTGCCAAGAGTGTGGACTAGAGGGACACTGGGAGACAGATGAGGGGAGAGTGATTTGCCATTTTCAGCAGTAATTTCCAACTTCCTATCACTTTCCCATAACCTGACCCCATCATACCTTCTCAGAGGTCCCAGCACCAGCTGAGGCACTCCTTCCTCAACTGAGTTTTGTCCCTGTCCCTAATTAAAATTAATAACCCGACTAATAAGTGGCTACCTGAGAACATGAAGAGAAATGGAGAAGATTGATCCCCTAGGCCTTTCTCAAACACTTTCCATTATAAATTCATTTTTTGCCCCCCAAAAAGATAGCAATTCCTGGCCTCAATTAAGTGTCACTCACTCAAGAGCCTGGGGAGAGTACTAGCCTAGTTAAGAAGACCCTGTCCTGACCCCCTATGCTTTAAAATGTCCCAATCTGACCTTCTCTTCCCATTCCTCTGGCACTTCCTTAAGGACAAGGAACCCACGAGGGCTAAGGGGCTATGCCCACCTAGAGCCTGGGAATCCCTTCTAGACAATGCTCCAACAACCTAGGATCACAGTGTGTCCTGCCCAAGTGGCCCAGAGCCTGCTTCCTTGGCCCATGAGTCATCTTCTGGGTAGGTCCTACACTTCCAGATTACACACTCTTAGCCCAAGGTACTACTAAGAGATGCGGATGTAGGGCAGGGGTGAACAGAGCTTGAATGTGCCCACCGAGTTATCCACACGCATGCATGGGACCCCACTGAGCAGGGCAGAGCCGAGTGGGAACAGAAGGTGAGGTGGAGCAGGGACTTCTTTTGTGCTCTTGCCCCAGCCCCCCAGATGTTTGGGGAGGGTCTCACAGGAAGTAAGTAAGCTCCAGTCCCTGAGTCTAAGGCAAAGGCCAACAAAGCCATTGCACTGAGATCTGGGGAATGAGCTAAGACACAGAACTGAAAGGCTGGGCCCAGATTCAAACAAAGGAGACCAGTAAGGGTTTTGTGAAGCTGTACTGCCAGAGAACCCCCAGGCCGAACAAGCAGAAGTTCATGACTATCAATCCCAAGGCAAGCCCCAGGCCCCAGAGCCCATACCAGGAGCAAGTGGGCCTCAATACAGGACAGCCCCTGTAGCAAGATCCTCCCCAAATAGTGCTCCTCGGGAGCGTCCCAGGTGAACCCTGTGTGGGACACCCCAGCAAGCTGGGAAGCCACGCTGGCTGACCGCAGACCCACCCACAGCCGCGTAGTGAGTCAACAAACATGTCTGCCTGCTTACTCACAATTCCTGACAAGCAGGATACACCGTCCTCTGAGCCAGTGGCTGTCATCTCCTGTTCCCTTTCCCCCCTTTTAAATGGGAGTTTTTATTACTTTGTTTCTCCTCCCTCATGGTTCTGTATCCGGGTGTACTGGAGTGACACACTCCTCCCTTTGCAAGGTCATGAGGAACGCATCCAGATCTGATGGGGAAGGACACGTTGTATGCAGCAGACTCTGTCTCCCGGGAGGAGGAGGCGTGACAATGTGGTATTATTTTAAGCAGGGACATTTTTGAGATTGTATATATGAGAAGAAGTGCGCATATGAGTTGGGCGGCAAAGCAGCCATTGTCTTTGGCCAGTCTGTGCCCACCTCCCATCCCTGACTGCAGAGGGGGGCCCTTGAGCCAGGTTGGAACAATCACTGCACTTTACCTTGACCACAGTGATTCAGGATGGACATATGACAGCAGCTGCCAATCTCAGTTCTTCTGGCTGGAGCAGGTGGGAAAGAACTGCTTTCTTCCCTGGTGGCCCGGCTGCTGGAATGTGAGTCCAGGGCTGTCAGTGACCACGTTCCCCACTGTGTGGAGAAAGACTGCCGTGCCGGAGAGAATAAAGTAAAGATTAAGTGAAGCACAGAGTGTGTGTGTTCTAGAAGGTTCTAGTCCCTGAGGTTCTCCAGAGTTTCCCTGATTCCTGCAGGTCTTCTTTCCATTCTCTGAGCTTCCTCACCTTTTCTGCTTAAGCTAGTGTAGAAAGTGTAACTGACACTTTCAATTAAGAGTCCCAACCCTTAACATTTGAGTTAAACTTCCTTAAACCCATGGTCCTTTACAACACTTTCTTATTCTGTGTTTGTATATCCTCCCAACCAAGGAAGCTTTATTGAGCTTTGTTTTGTGTTTCAAAGGAAAAATAGGCAATTGAATCAATTAGAATTAAGAATGAGTGGCAAGTAAAATAGACTCAAAATAACAGTGATTTGAACCAAAGGGATATTTATTTCTCCTAAGAGGACAAGTTTGGAGGTTGGCTGTCCTTGCCTGATGTGATGGCTGTACTCTACCAAGTCCTAGGGGACACGGGCTCCTTCTGCCATTCCCAGCTGCCTCCTGGGCTAAGACAGCTGTGCTCTGGATCAATGGCTCTCCATCAGGGGTAATTTTGTCCCCCCAAAGGAAAACTGGTAATGTCTGACGTGACATTTTTGATTGTCACACTGGGTAGGAGGTGCCAGCGTCATCTAAACAGTAGAGACCAGAGGTGCTGATAAATGTCCTACAGCCCATGACAACAAAAAAATCATCCAAGCCCAAAATGTGAATAATGTAGAGGCTGAGAAACCCAGTTCTCGATCCACCCCTTACACCTGTGATCCAAGAAGCAGGTAAGCTTGCAGATGCAAGGGGCAAAAGCACATGCTAGTTGTCTTTTAACAGAAGTTTCTCTAAGCTGCCACGTAGTTCCACTTACATTCCATTCACCAGACCTTAGTCACATGGCCACATGTAGCTGGAAAATGTAGTCCTAACTCTCAGCAGCCATGTGCTCAGTTAAAAATTGAGGGCCAACTATCAGTATTTGACACAGTAATTATGTTAGACATAATTTTTTTTGAATTAAATTCACCTTCCCCCCCCTTTGCCACCTTTCCCATGACTGACCCCCAGCAAAATAGCATTCACTCTCCCCACCAAGGAGTGGGTGCTTTCCCTACCCCTGCTGTGAGAATTGCTGCCTTAGGAAGAAATAATGTCACCTTGGACCATTAACTCAAAACCAGTTGAGAGACTTTCTTGCTTCATCGACTTCCCTCGACAAATATTCATTGAGAGCCGTGATGTGCCATGCACTGTGCTGAAGGCAGCTTGACTCCACCCACAGAGCCAGCTCAGACACAGGCATGGGACCAAGTGGGGCCACTTAGCCATCATGGCCAAGGCAAACCTGGAGACATCCGTGACAAGACTCATAGTGAAAGGCAGAGACCCCACAGGAACATGCCTGTGGAAGAAAGAGCAGTGCAGTCAGCAATCTCTGGAGCTAATTCCAGACCAACACCAGTTCATGCAAACTTGGGCAAGGCAGGTCACCTACCTGCACCTCTACTTTCTCCTTTGCAAGTCTGAGGCTTGAATCAGAGCTTTCCCATCAGAGCTGAATGAAACAACAGGGAAGTGTATTTGAAGTACAGATTCTTTGACCCACCCCAAGATTCTGAGTTAAAAAACCTGTAGTGGGGCCTGGAAATTTCTATTTTATAAAAGTGTATATGTTCTCATACACAACAGGAGTGGGAATTACTAGACTAGCAGAGATTTCTCTCAGATCTATTAATAACAGTCCAACATCCTGGAAATCAGAAACAAATCTGCATTCATGTGGCATGAGAAAGTCCCTGCAATGAATGTTTCAGGAAACACTGAACATGCAGATGTAAAATGAATGCTTGAAGAGTCAATATGGAGGCATCATTTTTCCCAAAAGTGTTACTAATTAAGAGTTTCAAGGCTAGGAAGTCAGGTTCTATTACTGGTATAGAAGAAGAATAACATCATTATAAATGGTACTTTTTATTTTTATTTTTTGAGACAGAATCTCACTTTGTTGCCCAGGCTAGAGTGAGTGCCGTGCCATCAGCCTAGCTCACAGCAACCTCAATCTCCTGGGCTCAAGCAATCTTCCTGCCTCAGCCTCCCGAGTAACTGGGACTACAAGCATGAGCCACCACGCCCAGCTTATTTTTTTGTATATATGTTTTTAGTTGGTCAATTAATTTCTTTCTATTTTTAGTAGAGACGAGGTCTTTCTCTTGCTCAAGCTGGTTTTGAACTCCTGACCTTGAGCAATCCGCCTACCTCAGCTTACTAGAGTGCTAGGATTACAGGCGTGAGCCACAATGCCCAGCCATAAATGGTACTTTTTAAAAAAGAAGATGAATTTTCTGAGTTCTCACACTACTATGAGCCCAAAATTTCTTTCAGAGAGAGAGAGAATAAAAGGAATCAGAACCTCCTGTCCCTATTTGCTGGAATAATCATCCTCAGGTACCCCAAAGGATATGGAGAAGTCCTCTATACATATTCCTCCATCACCAACCAAGCTATGCCAGCTCTTGGGCCAGGATATCTTGGTTCATTAAAGAATCATGCCTACAGAGGTTTGGAAGAAATGCATATAATACTCCGAGTGGTACTCAAATTAAAATTGACACAGAATAAAGAGAAAATGAAAGTCTTTTATGGGTCTCTATACCTCTTGAGTTCCTACATTCTCATATTTCATTGCCATCAAAATAATCAAAGTACAATGAGGTTTTAAATTTGACAGAAATAGAATATAGAGATTACCAAAGGCATATCAAAGGAAACATCAGCAAAGGTGAGTCCTGAAAGCTTGGTAAGTGTTAGTCACAAAAGAATTGGGGGAATTGGAAGATAGTGGTCAAGAGACACATCAAGATCTGGAAGTAAAGTATCCAATGAAGTATATGAACTGCAGGAAGTTCATTTATCTGGAACCTAACCCAGAGTGGTCAGAGGTGAGGCTGGAAAGGTAAGCAAGGCCAGAGCATGAGTGGCCTTTACTGCAAACAAGTAAAGGAGTGTGGGCTTTGTCCTGGGGGCGGTGGGGGAGAGCCACTGTAAGGTTCAACACTAGGGACCAACTCCAGCTGCATGTAGAGAATGGCTTGGAGCAGAGCAGGACTCCAACTAGGGAAACTAGTAAGAAAACTAGTGCAAAAATCCAGACAGGAGATGATGGAAATCTGACCCAAGAGAATGGTATTGGAATGGATAAAAGTAAGCGTTTCTAAAGCACTTTGAGTGATAGAATCAGGACTTAGTGATTGATTTCACCTGGAGAATAAGACAATGGGAGTAGTCAATGATGACTATCTTGGGCAACTGAGGTGGTAGTGACATTCACCAAAGAGTCAAACACAGAAAAAAAGCAAGTTGCAAGGGTTTGGGCAGAGGAACCTAAGTAGAGGCTACCAGGAAGCAGTTGACATAATGGTCTGGAACTTACGAGAATAATTTGGGTATCATAAGATAATTCAAACTCCAAGTTAATAAAATGACACCAGGAGAGAGTGGGCAGTGAGAAAACAATGAACCTATAACCCCAGGGGAAAAATCAGCTTTTAAGGTGAAATAGAAGAAAAAGGGCATGAGAACAGCTAAGGAGTGGTCAGAGAGGTAGGAGGAAAACCAGGGGAGCAGGTACTGCAGGATCCAAAGGAAGAACAGATTTAAAGGAAGAAGTGCTAAGAGTGGCTACAGCTATGAAGAGGTTGTCCATGAGATCCCATAACAAGGAGTCCCTGATGACTTTCCGAGGCAAAGCTTGGAGTAGTGGGAGCAAAGCCACAAAGTCTTAGATTTAAAAGAGAATGGGAGTTAGGAAGTGGAGACAGTGAGTCAGTCGAAAAACCTTTGGTGAAGTTCATCTGTAAAGAGTTTAAAAAGAGGGCAGCAGCCAGAGCTGGATGGAAGATGAGAGTGGATTAGTTTAAAGATGGGAGACACTAGGGATAATTTAAATGACTTCGATTTATTGAGTAATCATATGTGATCTCATTTGAACTTCATAAAATGCATGAGGAAGTTTTACCATTCTACAGATGTGGAAACTGAAACTGAACCTATCTGACTCCTAGAAACAAACACAGGGGAAATTGATAGTAGGTTTTGGAAGAGGAGACACATCCATTCCTTTCTTCCCTATATTCTCACTGCCACTCCATCATGCTGGAATCAGGAGGGACAGAGAGGTATAGAGAAAATGAAAGAAGGGAAGATTGGGAAGGAAGACTCACACTTTCTAAGTCTCTGTTAAGTGTGGGAATAGTTAGACACTTGATATACTTTATCACCTTTAATAAAATCCCACCAAACCACCAAGGTAGACATTGTTAGAAAGTTTAATTGTACCAGCTAGTAAGGGCTCTGGGGTTAAGAAAGGTTATACCTTCACCAGGTCACACAGCCAATAAGTGACTATTTGAATTGTAGTGACTATTTGTCTGGATTTGAACTTGGATCTGTAGACATTGAGATGTCTTCTCACTACTTCTAGTGAGCCCTTGATCTCAGGCTCCTGGGCCTCTCCTCCAGCAACTGCTACTAGGCTCCACGCCCTGCCCCATTAGACTGTTTATGAATGTCAATTTTATTCCAGCCTGTGCCTACACAAAGTATACATGGTCTTCTGTCTCACACCAGGGTCAGCCCTACAGTGGTGGGAGATGATATGCCTGGAGGAAGGGAAGCTGAAAAATACCACACTGGGTCCTTCCTTTTTACTCAATGGTATGTAATTTAAAAGATCATTTTTATATTAAAAATAAACATGGAGACATAGTTGGAAAAAACACAAAAATTACCTTAATTTCTGAGATAAAATATGAGACTTCCATGGAATGTCTTGCTTGTGGTGCTGCTTTGGACTCCAACCAGCTCCCGTTTAGAATATTTCAGTAGAAAGCTAAGAAAAACAACCGGAAAACAAGATAAAGGGCTTAGGATGGAATTTCAGAACTTCCAGTCTGCCCCACTCACCTTCCAGGCTTAGCTACTCCCACCTCTCCATGGGAACCTTACTTGATACCTCTGCTATATCCCTTCAGCTTTCCCCCTCATCTCCTTTGCTTTTTCTGCAGCCTGGAATATCCTCCTTCTACTCATTTATCTGAAACATGTTTACCTTCCATGAAGTCCTCTAAGATAAGTCATCTCTCTTCTACTAAGCCCCTGTGTTAAGCCAGCACTCATCACAGCTACCGTGCATTGTTATATTACCTATCTGTGGTGTAGGGTTTGTCTCACTAAACTGCTTGAGAATAGGGACTTGTGCCTATCATATCTTTAGGCCTCAGACACATGGAGCAAGCACAATAGCAAAGCCAACCTCAATTTAGTAAGTACTTATATATGATCTCATTTGAACCTCACAGTAATCCCATGAGGAATTTTTCCTATTCTACAGATGTGAGAACTTACACTTAGAGAGGCAAAGTGACTCTAGCAGGGCTGTAGGTGGAAAGAGACTGCAACATTTGGACTGCAGTGCCTGTGGCCTCAACCATCATGCTAAGTAGATGTTTACTGGTTGGCTTTTTCCTCTTCTCCCTCTTAAAATGGCAGCAGAGTATCAACTCAGTGACCTTCATAGACTCCATGCAGAACAGAAGAATTGCCCAGCAGAGCCCCACCTACATTTCTAACCCACAAAATCATTAGATATAATAAAATGGTTATTGATATAAGTCACTAGGTTTTCGAATAGTTTGTTAGGCAGCAACAGAAAGCTGGAACATCATCACTGGTTCTATAAAAACCTTCTCCTCATAGTTGGCACTTAACACCTTTTTGTATTATCACTGACTGCATATTAGGCAAAGTTTGTGCCTTGTACATTCCCAGTTCTTTATTGATGCCCTTTCTGAATCACCCGGTGCTCTTCAAGGTCCTCTGCCATGCTTAAGTGTCTTTCTGCAGACCCTCTGTCAGACCTCCCTCCCTCAAGGTGCTCAAGCCTTGGAATCCTTTTGGTCCCATCCCTCTTTTCTCCCTTCCACACCCTCCTTTCATCCTTCCTCTCCTCCAATTAAAGTGTGTTTCTTTTAAAGGAAGAATTTAGTAGCCCTAAAGAATCCCCAGGGTGAAGACTAGAAGGAAAGAAATCAATATAGCATTTGTAGGGAGGCTTGGGAGGAGAGGCTTGAGCACCCAGCAATCTCCTTGGTGTTTCTTCCCCAACTTCTGTTCACAACCTTCTACACAAACCAGAAGAAGAACATCAATTACAAACCAGACATAAGAAGATGCCTTCTTCCACCCCCAATAAAAGTCCTCCTTAAAACTTGCTGCCTTCTGAATCTAAAATGACTTAACATTTCTTTTCCTTTGAAGTGATGATATTACAGTTTTCATTATCTTTTCGAGGATAAAACGTCTGTTAGGATAAAGAAAGCATTAGTGTATGAAATATTGTTCAGAGCAGCTTATAAACATCAGTCCTCCCCTGAGAGTACTCTCTTTTCTGCTCTGCTCACCACATCCTGTCCTTCCCTTCAAGACCTTCTCTGATTATTAACTTAGAACCCAATAAAACTGAGGTTTCCTCAGCCCTACTTAAATGGGGTTTGAATAAGCTATTAAAAAAGTTTAAACATATTTTCTTAATCATGAATGTCATCCTAAAAGACAAACATCACTCTTCTATTATGTGGCCACCCATAAAACTCCAGACAGCTGCCTATTTCCCCATTTGGACCTCATGTGCCTACCTAGGGTATGCACCATTTCCCAGTGGCTCTGAGGGAAGCAGAAAAACCAGAGCCCACAGGATTTCATTACTCACTCATCGTCCTACGTCTCAGGTGTGGCCATATAGGTAATGGAGTGTCACATCCTGTGGTCTTACTAAGGCCTCTGGTTACCCAAAATACAAAGGTATCTGTATCTGTATCTGTTGGAGATAAGGTTTAATAAATCAACATACACTTCCCACCTATGTGGGCCTCCCTCCCACCCCCACCTTGGTCATGCCATTCCTCACCCCACTTTCTTTCTACTACAGCTCCAACATGGAAAGGCCCCTCTCCTCCTGTCCACCCAGCTAATGGATACCTAGTCCTCCAAAGTATTCTTCAAGTCCCACTTCCTCTCTGAAGCCTCCACTAACCACTTACATGACTTTTCTCCCAACGTTCACAGGTGGCAACATGTATTCAGTTGTATCATTCCGGGAAGCACTTCCAAAATGGTGGAGTAGAATGGGTATTTGCTTTCCCAATGTTATCTTTAAGTCATTGAAGAGCTGAAAGAAAGTGAGTGCTGTCCCTGTTTAGATGTCCCATAATGCCTAATAAAGGGCAATGTAGATGGAAGAGCCATAATTAATACCTGTTGAATAAATTAAAGAGAAAAGACATGACACCATTCAGCCATCTGTTAATAACTACAAATATTTGTTTTGCTATTATTAAGCCTGTCTTAGATTGCAGAGAACAAGACAGACACAAGGGATGCACTACAAGACTCAGAGATCTTAACAAGCTTAAGAAATACTTCCTGTACAGAATACTGAATTTGTTTTGGAGGTTGGAAGACCATGAGCTTGAGAACCCTCAGGAGGGCGGAACTGTTGGGCTGAAGGCAGCCGGGAAGGGTTTGATCGACGCTCTTGGTGGTCAGGTGAAAATGGGGGAAGGAGAAGGGCGGCGCACTGGGCTACCGGAAGCTGGGTTGCTTATAGAGGGACGTTACGCTTCCGCCCCTCACATCTCCCCGACCCCCTCAGGAAAGTCTCTTTTGGGTAACTGACGCAAGTGCTGCAGTGTTTAGGGCCCACGCTTCACAGTGCGGAACCCAGTGGCGGGCCGGACAGGGCGGCCTTGGACCAGGAATCTCACCCGCCAGAAGGGGCTCTGGGACAGGTCACCGGGCGGCGGGGAAGCGCAGACCCAGTTCTAACGGGCCAGGGTGGGCACCGTCCGCAAAGCAGGGTTTCTGGGCAGAGATCGGGCCCTACGCACCGGCTTGTCGGGAACCACCTTCTGCGCTGCCCGCCTGGAAATCCGCTATTCAAGATGCTCGTCCTTAGGTTTAAACTTTGTCTTCTTTAGGGACCTTCTTTAAAAATGAATTCTAGCATAAGTTGGTGCAACCAATTTCTTTCCCTTATAGATAGTTGAAAGTGGAGCACTGAAAAGGTGGGATTCTTGAGAAGGAAGGGAGATATGGCTATTTACGGTCCTGGAAGGGACAGCTCCGCTGTGAGTGGCTGCGTGCGTGGCAGGTCTCGTTGCTTGGCAAGTTTGCCCTACTTAATTAACCGTGTGACATTGGTTAATGCATTTCCCTTCTAGGCCTCAGTTCATCTGGAAGCAATTGTTGGACTAAAGCAGTAGTTCGCAAAGTGGTCCCCAGACCGGGAACACCAAAAGCACCTGGAAATTCGTCAGACATACAAATTATATACATACAAAATCTAGGGCTGTATATATACAGCCCTAGATCGGCTGAATCAAACTCAGGAGGGAGCCCAGCAATGTCTTTTAACAGCCCTCCATGATTCTGATTCATGCTCAAGTTTGAGAAATGCTGAACTAAATGATCTGGAGAGTCCCTTGGAGAGCAGAAAGCTCTTAGTGTGGCTCATAAGGCCACACAGACCTCACTAATCTGGTGCCCACATAACCGTCCAGTCTTAAGGCAACTCGCTTCCTCATCTACATAAATTGCTAAAAATTTCCCTAAGAAGACTTGCTCTTTGAAACTCCACACCTTTACATATGCTGTTTCTTCTTCATGAAATAGCCTTTTTCTTTCATCACCAACTCCTATTTCTCCTTCAAGACTTGTTTTAGTGGTTATCCCTCCCAGGAAGGCCACCAGTACCCGCCTTTCCAGCCAGGTGTCTCCTTTCTGTGCTTTTGTAACAAATGATGAATATTTATTTTTTATCCATTTGCTACGTTTATCAGGTCCCCCACTAAACTGAGCGAGGTGTCGGCAGAAATTTTTATTTCTATACGCTAGTATCTGACCAATGCCATCCACATAGTATGACCTCAGTAAACATTGCGTGAGTGGATAAATGGGTGACTTGAATCCTGTAGTCCACTACCTGAGGGCTCAGATAATGACTTTCTGATTCTTTTTAATCTCTAATCATTGAAAGTTTAATGTTTTTCATGTTATACATTCTAAATGATTGCTTATTACTGTTAGTAATTCTTTATAGCACATTACATCGTCCAAATTCTTTCATATCCATTAGCCCATTTGAGCCTCTCAGCAATCGTATCAATTAGGTTGGAGTGGGTATTGGTCTAATCATTTTCACAGCCAAGAAATGGCTCACGAATTTTAAATGGCATTCCATGGTTACCTATCTCTGTAACAGTTATTCACACATAGTGTAAATAAACACACACTGTCTCCTCTGCAAGGCATTGTAGTAAACGCATGGGAGTTGGGAGATATGAGAGTTATTAAAGACATGGTCCTTGTCCTCCAGGAACCTCTATTCTAGGAAAAATGAAACTTATTCTACAAATAACAACAATATAGTAAGTCTATAATAAATCCAATCTTGAGTGAGTCAGTCCATTAATGCTCTTGGGGGACAGAGGAGCCACAGGTGGCACAATAGCTAGGGGAAACATGATTGTGGCAGAGGCAGAGATTGCATGATGACTGGACAGAAGAGGATTTGAATAGATAGGAGAAGAAGGCCCTCCAGAAGAAAAGAATAGATTAATAAATGTACAGAGACTAGGGCACTCAGCATAGTCACAAGCAGTATAGATCTGGTAGCTGTAGCAGAGATACTATGAAGGGGAGCTGTGAAAGTCAAAGTTATACCTGGTGAGACCACTATATATGCCACTGAAGGTGGCCACTTTTATTACTCTATTAGTGGCCACTCTTGAAATTACAACATATAAATGTTATTTATCAAACATTAATGTTACCTGTTACTTTTCCATCCTCCCAGACAATGCAATGACCTCCCCTTCTGAATTGCTATCATTGTCATTTATTTCAATTCTATATTTTAAACCCCAGTAGATATTATTTTTGTTTTGTATTGCCAGAATTAATTTATATTTACCTGTGTCTTTTCTATTTTCACTCCTCTTCAATTGTTCCTTCATTTCCAAGCTTCCATCTGGGATCATTTTCTTCCTTTATTGCAGGCCTACTGGTGGCAGCTTCTTTCAGTTTTTATTTGCCTAACTTCATTTTACCATCATTGTTGAAGGATATTTTACTAGGTATAAAATTCTACATCATTGGCCATAATTTTCTTTCAGTAAATTAAAAATATCATCTACTATCTTCTGATTTCCATTATGATTTTTTCAAAGGCTGGTGTCATTCATTCTTTTTATTTTTATTTATTTTTATTTTTTATATTTTTAGGGTCTTGCTTTGTTGTCCAGGCAGGAGTATAGTGGCTATTCACAGGTGTGATCATATGCACTACAGCCTCAAGCCCCTAAGCTCAAGCAATGTTCCCTCCACAGCCCCCCAAGTATCTGGGACTACAGGCAGGTGCCACCACACTTGGCTTGCTGTCATTCTAACTGTTGTTTCTGTCTTTTGTCAACTTGTCTGCTTTTAGGATTTCTCTCTTTGCTTTGGTCTTCTGAAATTTGCTAATGGTATGTCTAAGTATGAGTGTCTTTTATTTATGCTGCTTGAGGGCCATAGGACTTTTATCTGTTTGGAGAAATTCTCAACCATTCTTTCTTCACATGTTCTCTCTCTTCTCTCCTTTTGCAACTCCATTAGCATAAATACACATTTAGTATACATCCTTACTAAATTGTGTATGTCTTTTACCCTCTGAATTTTTCTTCCTTTTTTCTGAGCTATATCTGTATAGTTGCTTTTGACCTGTCTCCTGATTATCTTATTAACTGTATTTATTTGCTGCTAATCACATCCATTGAGATCTTGATTTGGGTTGTTTTATTTTTAATTAGAGTATTTATGGAGATTCTTTATCAAATCTTTACAATTACTTTTTGTAACTTCCAATTCTTCTTGAATTTTAAGTTTGGCTTTATTTCCTTGAGTATACATAATAGTAAATGTAGTTGCTTTAAAGTCTGTGTATGGTAATCCCACTGTCAAGAATAACCATGAGCATCTTTCTGTTACTTCTAATTTGTGCTGATTCTTACTTATATTGTCTTCATTCCTTATTTGTTTGGTTATTTATTACTGTGTGTTAGACATTATATTTGAAAAAATATCTTTAGAAATAATTTGAGACCTAGGATGATATCCTCTTCCAAACAAGATTGTCACTTGCTCTGCCAAGCACCTAGGGGCACTAGCAATCCAACCAAGATTGCTTTAATGGAAATTCAAGTCTTTAAATTTTGGGTGCCACCCAGGTGACTAAGCTAAGCTGTAATCCATATGAAGGCAGTTTACTTCCAGTTTA